TGTGTGTGTGTGTGTGTGTGTGTGTGTGTGTGTGTGTGTGCGTGTGTGCGTGTTTATACAAAGACGAGTTGTGCTGTATGAACGTGTGCCAAATGTTTGTGAAACGCGTGCTCTCTATGCATGTTGATGTTGCGCGCACCAAAAGACACTCATCACGAAACTATCATCACTGTTCACCTTCTTCGTAATGTTCACCGGAACGCTCCGCCCTGTGAGGAACGCTCCACTCTGCTCACAGAAACAGTGTCGTCATCTCCCTTGCCCGACAAGAAATGACCCAAAGAACACGCCCCAACAACCACCCAAGCCCCCTTCACTTGACCACACGTCCTTTATAAACAATTCTAGAACAGTAGCTTTCAGTTCCCACACTTCGGGGCCATGGTCTAGTGGTCCCACAACGTGGATTTCCAAAAAACTCAGTTCGTCTGGTTTTCGCCTGCATAATCGCCTGGGTTCGACCCTTGGCCCGCAGAGTTTTGGCTTTTTTTTCCTTTTTTTTTCCTTTTTTTTCCCCCTTTTTCCCCCCTTTTTTTGGGCGTCAGGTCGTACCCCTCGGTGAATAGGGGCTGGGATCCTATATATAGGTTTGTTTTCTCTCGGATGTATCATTATAGGCTATGTAAGTATAATCAGAGAGATGTTAGAGGTGTACTTGATCTCGAGTTCAAATATGTATGGCGTGAGAGTGAGTATAGTAGTAGTGGACTCGCTGGTAATACTGCCTTCTCCAGGCCAGATCCTGGTTTTTCATGTTTATTCTTTCATATTTCGAATACCACACTTCTGCCTAGTGCTTTTGTCATGACTGACAGGTCTCCTTTAACTGGGATATACCCATTCATGTCATCCGCCAAGGACTTGTATACAGGCAAAGTTTAGTTCTTCCATGCTGACGGCGCCGTCCCACTAGCTAAATTACATTGCCACAATAACCGTCCTTCACCATACCGGGATATCTTGCCAGATACGCTGTGCATCACGCCTCGGTTGTGGAGCAAAACCAGACCGCCCCTCTGCCATGCATGTGCATACACACTCTCAGGTGAATAGACAGGCATCTGGAGTCGATGGCAGATGTCTCGGACCTCCTGAAGATTCGAGATGAGCGACTTATGGCCCGTTTCGGGATTGGTCGTCGTGAGGGAGTATACGCAGCACCCGGCAATTTGTGTGTGAGGTTGGCCATTAGAGGGATTTTTTCCAGACTACCTGTTGTTGTTAATGAGGACTTGCGAGGAAAGGGACGAAGTTTTGGGGGGATGGATTTACAGGGTCGGACTGGACTTCATCCCATGTCCAGTCTAGAAGTGTGTGCAGGACCTGTTCTCTGCCGGTCTTGTGGATTGATGGTCGATCAGCTGATGCCTTGTAGTTGTGCATGTATTCGTATGGTAGTGGTGCATACTGGACAGTCGTGTTCACGTCGAAGTCTTTGTCTTTGTCGGACAGACCTTCGAAATTTCGCGCACTGGAGAAGACTGTAGGGGTTCGTTGTCTAGGATACATGTATACTCTTTGACTCACATAGAGTGGCTCCTGCTGCCACGCTCATGGTGCGTGATTCAGGGAAATGGAGTTGCTGTGGGGGATGTCGATGGTATGGAGCGATGTGACAACACCGGGGAGAAGTCGCATATAGCGCGGCATCCATGTGCCATCTATACGGCTGGGTAAGGTCATTCGCTATGTCTTCTGGAGACAATGGATCTTCATGGAAACTGGATTGGTACTGGTGAGCAACAAGCATCAGTAGCGTCTCCATTGACTGTATGCCACCAGATGCTTGAGGTCAAGCTCAGAGATGCCTTCGTGATTTTCAAAACGCCCTGAGCCGATGACGGTCACTTGCGGGGCACGTGGAATCCGCGAGCAGTTGTTTTGCGATAGAATGTTGCGAGTACCTGTGACTTGTTTCTCGCCTCCTGAATGCTGAATGATGAGCTGCTGATATAGTGAATTTAAAATGAACAAACAAGTAGAATTCTCAGTCGAGTTTCTATGGATCTCTCCCAATATCCATCGACACATGGGGTATCCGAGACGAGCAAGTCCTATCCGTGACATCCTACCCACCATTCATCCAAAAGCACCAATAAACCATGTATCAAAATCCTCGAGGTTCTGTGCTTGCTTGGCTAGGACAGCTCATCGTGCCTATAGTCAGCCATTATAATACACTATGCTATTCTCGCTGTCGAAAGCAATGCATAATCTGTTTGAGATTTTTATCTCTCGCTAGATCCGTCTGTACATTGGTGCTTATTGTAGGAGAGAGAGGAGATTATCATCTAATACAATCTGCACCAAATTGACGCCTCTGAGCGCCATGGTATCGTTCATAGATTGGTTGAGGCGAGCACTGGCCTCCCGGACCAGATTCATACGATATTGTTGCTGGTCAGTCGTCATTGACGAGTGATAGTATAAAAGCTCTATGCAGAGTACTACGACCGCGGTCACACGGAAAGCAGAGTGCAGCCACAGGGATGGGGAGCGTGGAACGGCTTTGAAGAGATGTTCGTGCTCGCGGAGTATCGTCATGGCTGCAGAAATACATGTCTGTCTACCTAGTAAACAGGTATATGCAGGCGATTGTAGGCTTCTAATTGTGAAAGATCGGCGTATCATGCTTATCTTGTCTGCAGCTGCGATTGCCAGGGTACGCCGAGCGAGGTCGAGCGATTCGGTCCCTGTCTAGACTTCGTCTTGACTCTGCAGGATGGCTGGTGGTAGGTATATTAGCCACGAGTCGCCTCATTTGTCGATCCACATTGATGACATGTTCGTAGCGCGACATTATATCAGCTTTATCGTCTGGCCCGTCTAGTCAAGTAGGTATCAGGAGCGACATACGGGATGTGGTAATAGTATATGTACTGCTCGTTACGCAGGCCTCGTCTTGACCACACAGGTCATCGTCGTTACAATTCCAAGGAAGTCGTATTGTGAATTGTCTCAGGTCGATAATGACAACACTAGTACCAGTATAGGGGCTATAATGAAATTCCCACTCAACCAATTCCCACCATACCCGCCGACCGATTTCCCTTTGAACCGTCTCCTCCCAGCAAGTTCCAGGCTCGTCTGGAATGCGGTGTAGTTCTAAGTCCTTTGGTTGATATCAGACAGCATGTCAATCTGCATCGTGGATCTTACATCCTCGCATCTGTTGGAGCCTAGGCATTGACCTCCTGGAAAATCCTACCATCTGCCTCGGCCCTACTCAACTCTATGGGACGGTTATATCATATGGGTATGTTGCTCCACCGACTCCCGTTCATTTACATTCCTGATCACATACGTCTAGCTCGCGCCCATAACTGGTGTCTTACTCGCAGACTAATAGACTATTACGTTGTACATGGCCAAGTATACGACACCCACAAGATATACACCCCGAATGGTAAATCCAGGTACAACAGATGGATTGGGCACCGTAGCAGCCTGGCAGTCCGGTTCCGTGCCGCTGATTCCTGGGTTTTGGCGTCTAGAGTGAGTGGCTCCGCCTGTATGAGCGAGATACCTGCTGATCTTGGTGAAGACGAGTAGATTGCTTTCTGTTATCGAAAGGGAGCGGTCGATATTTGCAGCCTCGGGTATGTCTATATAGGGATTCTGCTTTGGCTTTCTGGCCTTCTCGCTGCTGAGCAGAGTCTTCGCCGTGCATGAGGAGTCAACAGTTGAAGACGGCGACTCGGCGGGTAAGGAAGGAGAGTCATGTTATGAGGCCGCGAGATCGTATACGGTAGATAAAAGAAGCTTAGCGAGAAAGGTACAGGTGGGTATGGATTGCTGCCTTAGGCAACGAACCCAACACCAACACCAACACCAACAGCAAAGCTAGGTTCACTCAAGCTCCTTTTCCCACGAATACAAATGTCGCTCTGTAACCAGTAATCACCTACCTACCTACGCTTCACGATATATTGAGCCATCACCCTCACTCAGTCCTGCCACAAAATATATGTCTAGCCAACTGTGTGGCGTTGGTCGGCCAACAAATCTCTCCTTTCCTTTTCAGCCCCCAACGCATTAATGCATCCATGGATGCGTTTCAAGATCGGCCTAAAAATCGCCATGAACAATTAACGAATTGGAATCGGGGAACTTGTGGCGCTTCCCTCTGACCTGCCCCCGAACTTATTTTAAACGAAGGCTACACAGGATCATTGGCAGCGCCACAGCGTAGATTGGCTATCTGTTCTTCGATGCGGGCTTAGACTTGGAGGCTGACTTCATCTTTAATTCTTTAGTCGACATCGACATCGACATCGACCCCCCGCTGCGTGTGTGTTTAATTTGCAAACTTGTCTTTTGTTTTGAGCAGTCTCAGAGGACCACGCGACTCTTACCACCCTCCTCCAAATATTGCTATGCGATTGCTGCACGATGTCGCGTCGTGACGTCTGGAGTCCGCAGGGATATCACAGGCTCGACGATGTGACAGAGCAGCACGCACTGCAACTACCCGCGCCCTCGATAACGTCTTCGAAACCATCGCTCTACGGATCGAGTATCTACACCAACGATGAAGACACCATGTACATCCCTCTACGGGACATTACAGCGCACGGTGACCATGGAACTGATATGCTCGACTCCGGATTGAAGCCGTCGTCGTCAACACCACAACCACCGAGCAGACATGGACGATTCATGCGATGGTGGAACCGGCAGTTTCTGGGCTGGCGGGCGGGCGCGATGTCCTGTGCGGTAGGCAGTTCCGTTGTCTTTGTGGTCAATCTTGTGGTGACGATATGGGCGACGGCGAAGTACGATGTTGTGGAGGGCCGGTCTACGTTGTTCAATGGGAGCTGCGACAAGATGCGGCCGCTGAACACCTTTCTCCATCTCCTCATCAACATTCTAAGCACTGTGCTCCTGAGCTCAAGTAACTACTGTATGCAGTGTCTATCTGCTCCAACGCGAGCTGAAATAGACAGTGCGCATGCAAAGGGAGTTTGGCTGGATATTGGAGTGCCAAGTTTTCGGAATCTGCGACATATAAGCCCCCTTCGAACCATTCTTTGGGTGGCTCTCGGCTTCTCATCGTTACCATTACATCTATTGTCAGTTGTCGTCGTACGTGTTATTCACCTCGCTGACAAGCAGTAGTTACAACTCTGCCGTGTACAGCTCCATCGCCGCCAATGAGTATTCGATATACACAGTTTCGGAAGCATTTTTGAACCCACCTGCAGACAATCAAACCTGGGTGCTCGACCACGTAAATCTCTATGAAGCCGATCTTTTGAACCTCCATCGCATGATCAAGGAGGGTTCGCCGAATGTTGAAGCATTGAGTAGGGACGACTGTATCAGAGCCTACGCCCAGGACTTTGTCACTAACCGCGCATCCCTTATCATGCCCGCAACCGATTATAACTCCTCAACTGAGATCGAAGTAATCTGTCATTCCTCCTCCGCAGTTGTTGGCGAGTACCAAGTAGATCCCTACGGATGGATTTGCAACCAACAGAATGTGCGGTATTCCACCTGCTCCTCGTATCCAGTGTATGATGATCCTTGCCGAGACCGCATTTCCGGGATTTACACAAACTCCTCAGGCTGGCGGCCATTCTACTACGATATCAACGAGTGCTACTCGGAAAAAACCAACGAGTACTGCAAAATCCAATTTTCCCTCATACTTGCCATTGTGGTCATTATCCTCAACGCTCTAAAAGCATCAATAATGTTTTATCTGGCTTACGGCGTCAAGGAGAATCCGCTGATGACCATGGGAGACGGTGTTGCTTCGTTTCTATCGTCAGAGGATATGTTCAGCAGAGACATGTGTCTCACCTCCAAGACCGACATCACCAACTCGAAATACATCTGGCATACCGGTCCCCGGCGATTCCAGCTGCTACACCGGCGCTGGTACACCGCAGCATCCGTCAAACGCTGGATCGCATGCATGTCGATGTTTTCCTTTGCCTTTGCCCTCGTAACATTCCTGTTCGATTTCGGCCGCCGCGCCATCACGGGCCCCAGCGACATAGGCAGTCTCGCCAAACTCGGCCTCGGCGAAATCAACCCGATGACGATGATCAGCTGGGAGATCCCCTCGTCGGGCGCCAGCGGTCTGCTCGCAAACGTGCTCGTCGCCAATGCCGCCCAGCCCATCCTCTCATTCATGTACTTCACCTACAACGGCCTGTTCACGTCCATGTTCCTGAGCCAGGAGTGGAACTCGTACGCCCGCGTGCGCAAGAGTCTCCGTGTGTCGACCGTGCCCAGGGGCGCGCAGCGCGATACGTATTTTCTGCAACTGCCGTATCGGATTGCGCTGCCGTTGATGGGAGCGTCGGGATTCTTGCACTGGCTGGTTTCGCAGAGCATTTTTCTGGTCAATGTCGAGACGTATTCGTATGCCTCACAGCAGGTGTCAGGTGGGAATACAACGAGTTCGCAGGACGCCTCGTCCGCGCAGCAGCTTCCCGTTGACAACTTTATGAGCTGTGGATACTCGCCCCTTGCTATCGTGCTTGTTATCTGTGCTACGGGCCTCTTGATTGTTGGGATACTGGCGGTCGGGGCGAAGAAGTTCAGAGTGGCGATGCCGGTTGCTGCAAGCTGTAGTATAGCTATCGCGGCGGCGTGCCACCCAGAGAAGAACACAGACAGAAGGGAAGACTGGACGGGAGAGGTCATGTGGGGCGTCATGGGGAAGGGGCACCTGGGTTTCTCGAGTCGGGAAGTTGGAGTCCCTGTGGAAGGTGACATGTATGAATAATACCTTTTGTGTAGTACCAGCCATGTTCGTCAAATACCTTTGTAAGCCTAGGTTTGGGTTATCTCAATTATCGCTTCGGTCTTGCGGAAAACTGTAAAGGTGTCTGCGGCACTTTTAAATGCATGGCGTTGGTGGAAGTATTTGGTAATATCATATCATGGTATGTTCGGCCTTATCAACGAGATACTGTGACATCCGCAACTCTTGATGCTTGTGATCGCTTCTTGTCTATAGCATATGTACATCTGCTTGGTCCGCCTGTGCTTGTATAGCGGACACGCCCACCGTATCATCCACTACTCAGTCCTTGTCACACTCTAGTGGGCATCAGAGCTCTTGGACGCCGGGTTGCGCGGGTCGTTCTTGTACTCGTCGGCTAGAATGGGGTCAGATATGGGACGACAATAAAACGCAAGGACGAGAGTATGATTACGCACATTGAGCGAGAGCGCCAGCGAAGGAGTTGACACCGTACATGACGATGAGACCTGGTCGAGTGTAAGTGCATTGATATCTTGTGGGTGCGCCGTAAAGTCGGCAAGGTTGCGATCTTCTATTTTTTCGCTGATGGTATATTTTGCATATGTGTTTGCCTAATTGAGCCTTCGTGAAAGATGAAATCACTCAGTACGTACCGGCAGCGTAGAAGGGGATCATGGGTCGGGCTGTAGCAGCTTCGTTAGCTTTGGAACATGGACAGTGGGTGCTCATTGAATAACGTACCGACGGGCGCCGGCCACTTTCTTCCGAGGTATGACATTGTGTGATTGGATTTTGCGAATTGGACAGTTTCTGAGGGGTCGAGTGATGAAGTCGTGGTGGAAAGGTCGTCGATGGACCTGATCCGGAGTCAAAGTCAAAGAAGCTATTGGATTAATTACAGTGGCTTGGCAAGTAACAAATGATGACATAAGTGTTTGGCTTGGCACAACATCTATCGGCTACTCGTTTCAAGTGATTTGCAAGCACAACCTCTACCATTGCATCCAGTCCACACAACATGTCTCTTGCAGCCTCCCTCGAGGGCTGCGTGCACTCTCTCGAGACATCGCGACGCTTGCTAGATAACTCTATCTCGGTACTCGACAGCGGGGTCCAGGACTTCCCACGGTTGGCCAAAGTGCTGCAAACGACGAGAGTAGGCGCGAGCTCTTACGCGATTTACTTGCCTAGAAATTGACAAGCGACTAGCACTTTGAACTCATATCGGAACCAGACCTCCAAACCGCTCAATCCTCCCTCGTCTCCGAAATACACCCCGAAGTTGACTCTCTCCTCAACCGGGTCTCAAATTATCTGGACAGACTCGAGCGGCGCGAGAAGTCTCTCATGGCCAAATTCGATCTGAATGAGGGCCGTCTAGGTAGCGAATCTTCGGCCAGCAAGCCAACACGACCAAACTCGACTGTGTCGGGGAGAAGAAGTGTGGCGGGTGGAAATGGAGAGAAGCTGGGCCCGTCGGAAGTGATGAAGCTGAAGCAGATGAGATTGAAGAAGGAGAGACTGAGCTATGCTGTGGATCGACTCACGCTACAAGCGAATCAGCGAGAAAGGCAGCTGAGAATGAGCATGGCGGCGCCACAGCAAACTGTTGGATGATGACTTTTGAAAGAAACGGATCGGGACATAGGGGGCTTTACATAACACGGAGTTTTGTGGTTGGATTATACCCGGTCGGCGAGCCACATGTTTGCAGAGTCTTGGGCTTCAAGAACAAGGGTACAGTAGGAGTCCGAAGATGATATACACGGCTACGGTATATGAAAGAAGTATTTACAACACACCCATGGTATTAAGGAGATAACACTAGCTACCAACCAAGGCGCTGGAGAACTAACATCGGATTTGTGCAAAGCATGGACGACGTTTCGGAGACTATATCATACAGGCCGGCCTTATGCTCAAGGTCAACAAGATTGTGACACGTCAAGCCAATAGAATGCCGCAGTGTACGTTCTGGACGACAGACACGTCGACTGTTGACGATGGCAAGACAATCGTTTGCAAGGTTTTTGTTAATCTACGAATACAAGCCAAGGGCCATGCATAAGGTTCATTGAAGGCGGAGTGGTGGAAGGTCGCGCAGATGAGGGGAAGCCTAAAAGCTTGCTGTACCATTGTTGAGAGGTGGTCAGTTGTCAGCATGCATTCAGCATTACCATGGGTCTAGGAATGTTAGGCCGGTGTTCTGGAATAGCAGTGCTGTGTGGAAGGCGAACAGTCAGGAGGCCTGCTGACCGTCGCTCCGCACCCCTGTCGCCTGTCCGGTCAGCGTCTAGAGGAGTAATCAGCGGCTAGCTCGGGCTTGAGCTCGTCAACAGGATAATAGCGAGCCAACGAAACGAGTGCAGCACAGTACAGTACAGTAGAGAATCGAGTTTCCCGCAAATGCAAACCGTCTCGGACATTTTTGGGACAAAAGGAAAACAACACGTCGATGTGGACCAAGTAACAATCCGGCGGTGTGGTATTGCGATAAGCGAGCAGGGTTCGCAAGCGTGAAATCAGGATTGTTATGGGTAATTAGTAGGTAAATGTTGATGAAACTCGCGTCGAGGAAGTGAGGCATTGATGAGGCATTTGTCAGAAGGGCACTGGAGCGTAAGACCAGTGACGTGACAGTAAGCAGAAGAGCGAGACACAAAAGAGGTTGGATTGATGGTGAGAGGGATAGTCGGGGGTATCGATGCAAGGTCGGGCATATAATATCATCACCAGTAATAAGGGTGTGGCACAAAGCGTGTCAAGTGGAAGTTGGCCGACAAGATACACACTGACACACTGACACACTGACACACTGACAGCAAGGGCGCCACACACCGCACACACACGTAGCTTGTTGGGCGGACTTGGGCTGCCGCTTTGCTTTCTTTGAACCCTTTTCCGGACCGGCTTCATTCATATAACGTGAGTTTCTATTCTTGTCCTCTTCACTGTTTGGGCGGGTTCACACGTGACACAGTGACATTGAACCGACCACATTTCCAAATTTACCTTTTTTCACAACTCAGGCAAAGTGGGGTTTTCCCAGCAAAAGGGCGCGTTTGTCCACCGGTCGTCGACAGTGACCAGAAAGCTTGTCAGACAGAGAGTGCGTGAGTGTGTAGGTGGTCGTCGTCTCGCGCGCGTCCAGCTTCGAGGCCATTGGAACATTCGGAACAAGAAGAGAGTCTTTTTGCAGGGCGCACTGTCCACTGTCCACTGTCCGTTGTCTAAGTAATACTGCAACACTGTAATAATAGCTGGCCTGGTTGCTTGGTTGCTTGGTTGCTCGCCTTCCTTGCTTGTAAAGTGACTGACTGCTAACTAAGCCTGAATACCTAAATTAACCTTGAAGGTTAGTAGCACCCACCCAGCCGCGCTACCCTTCACCTCCACTATTAACCACTCTACCACCACCACTACCACCACCACCACCACCTCACTTCGGCCTTCCTGCTTCTCACTCTCACCTCCCAACAACTCACTCTCCTCTTCTCCTTCGAGACCAACATTCCTCGAAGGCTTCATATCAACATCCCGGTTTGCTTGCCACTCTGTTTCAGCTCTGCCTTTGTGTGCTTCCTCTTTGCCACACTCGCCTTCTGTTCGCGGCTTGCTCTTTGCTCTTCTCCGCTCGGGCTTCAAGCGTCTCCACCGCCCTCGCCCACTTCACTCCCAAGGCTCGGCACCATACTTCATAATAAGTACGTACACCACCACCTTGTCCCTGCACCCTACTCTTCATCAATTCTTCGTCATCATCACCTTCAATCCTCTTCCATTCCTTGTATTCTTTCCTTCAGCAGCCATATACCATCCTGCCTTTCCGGCTGCCCAAGTCACCTGTTCTCTCAGCCTCGAACACACCGCCTCGCTTGACACGCCAACCTCCTCACCTACTCTTACTCCACTTTATACTGACCGGAACCTCCTACGCAGGCTGACCTCTTGAAATACTCCATCCTCACTTCACCCCCTCGATAACGAGCAGCTCATCCTCTTATCCAACCCGTCCAATACATATCCTCAAGGCCTTCGTCCCCTCGACGACAGCCCCTCAAACATGACGACAATGGTACGCGTCCTACTAGAGCTTTATAACAGACCTTCTAACTCCAGTATAGGATCTCCGTGTCGGAAACAAATACCGAATCGGTCGTAAGATTGGTAGTGGTTCTTTTGGTGACATCTACCTCGGTCAGTCAGCACAAATCTCTTTATCAAGCTGAAGGTTAATCTCAATAGGCACCAACATTATCTCTGGCGAGGAAATTGCCATCAAGCTTGAGTCTGTCAAGGCCAAGCATCCACAACTCGAGTATGAGGCCCGTGTATACAAGTCCCTTGCTGGTGGTGTCGGAATTCCCTTCGTACGCTGGTTCGGTACTGAGTGTGACTACAACGCCATGGTGCTCGATCTCCTCGGCCCCAGTTTGGAAGACCTGTTCAACTTTTGCAACCGTAAATTCTCCTTGAAGACCGTCCTGTTACTCGCCGACCAGCTCATCTCGCGTATCGAATACATCCACGCCAAGTCCTTCATCCACCGTGATATCAAACCGGACAATTTCCTCATGGGCATTGGGAAACGGGGCAACCAGGTCAACGTGATCGACTTTGGTCTTGCCAAGAAGTACAGAGATCCAAAGACTCACTTCCACATCCCCTACAGAGAGAACAAGAACCTGACTGGAACTGCCCGTTATGCCAGTATCAACACCCATTTGGGCGTCGGTACGTACACTTCCATCCTTTTATCCCGCGTTCGTATTGCTTACATTGATAGAACAATCCCGTCGTGACGATATGGAATCCCTCGGATATGTGATGCTCTACTTCTGCCGTGGATCCCTTCCGTGGCAAGGACTCAAGGCTGCCACGAAGAAGCAAAAGTACGACCGTATCATGGAGAAGAAGATGACCACTCCTACCGAAGTTCTCTGCCGTGGATTCCCCAACGAGTTTGCCATCTACCTCAACTACACGCGTTCCCTTCGCTTCGACGACAAGCCCGACTACTCATACCTCCGTAAGATCTTCCGTGACCTCTTCGTCCGTGAAGGATTCCAGTACGACTACGTCTTTGACTGGACCGTATACAAGTACCAGAAGAATGCCCAGGCCATTGCTCAGGCTGCCGGGAACCAGGGCCAAGCCGACGATGATGACAAGGGGCGTGCCCGTCACGTCACTGGAACTGGTGCTGCCACCGGAGCCCCAACACCGGCTGCTGGTGCTGTCAACGACAAACGCCGTGGTCCCGTGAATGCCCGCGAAGGGGGTACTGGAATGTGAGTGCGATTTATTGGTCCCTGTAAGATCCTCCTCTCCTCTGCGTTTAGTGCTCGATGATGACGCTTGGCGCGGGGGGAGTGCCGTGGACAGAGTTGCTAATTTCCTGTTTTCCCATAGGCAACTCCGCTCTGCCAACAAACGCGGTGGGGATCAATACCAGCAGGGAGGCTATTGATACAACTGAAGCGGAGTAGTCCACGTCAAATTCTCTCTACTCATGCACTTTACTCGAAGATGTCCGTATTCTCTGGAATGTGGCATCTCTCTCTCATGTGGGAAATGCGGCCTCGCCGTCTTTTCTTTACCCAGACGGCTGGCCTGCATCTTATCAGCATATGAGTCCTTTTCTATGGCTTCAACTTCCATGGCACAGGCAAAGACTACACATCTCTCCTCAACAGATCTCTCGGTAATCCATACGCTCTTATTCCAGGTTCCTCGTCAGCGTCAATTCTTCGATGGGCGACACTTTTCGGACTTTTGGACCTTTGGTCTGCTCTTGTCTCGTCGACTCCCGGGATTTTCGCCTCGAAGACGGTTTGGAGGGACGCGCTCGACCAGAGATGTAGAGGATTGAGCAATGTCTCGGTTTCTCAATATTGCTGCTATCCTACTCAACTTAAACTTCACTCCCCCCAAATCGTGTTACTTCATGTCTCTTCTTTGCTTTCTTTGCGAGTATTCGGCACGTCTGGATCATGTCTGGGGAGGTTGCACTAAAAACCGGGGACGAAATCGAAAATCACAAAACACGCACCATCATCATCATCATGTGTGGGCCAATGGCAAGACATTAATGAGGCAGATCACTTTGGCATGCTTTTTGTAGGGGCGTAGAATCTCAAATGGTTGGGAGATTCTATGGGATGGATCTGAAGGGCGGCTTCCGGAGTGGTAATCAGGCTGTCGGAGTGGTCTGCCAGGTGAAGGGGAAGAAATAGTTCAAATCGCTCGTACTTTCCTAAATTCAATATCTTCTCTCTTTACTGCAACACTCCAAAATACTGCTGTTAATTACTGTGTCTCTGACTTGTCACAGCTAATGGCTCTAAGTTTTGGGCTCCGCATCCAATCGTGTCTTGGCTAGGATCTCCAAGCCGGGTGCCCCTAGTTTTTAGACTAGTGGCGTCCAATCAGCAGCGGGCTAGTCAGCAGCAACCTGCAACCCAAAACTTTTTGAACATTGCAGGTTCAATGTAGTGTGCCAATCCTCCTCATCTTCTCGCCAACGTAGTCATGCTTTCGGGTCGCTCGTTGAGCCCAGTATGTATAACATGCAGACTGCGCTTCCTGGCGCGAGCACACGTCCGTGGCATCAATAGCTCTCCGCGATATTTGACGAGTTTCAGCTCGCATGGACGGCGCGCGACGCCTCTACCAAAGCGCAACGCTCCATCACGACGTACGCTGTATGCGGGGGTTAATCTCACGGGAGGTGTTCGAACAGAGGAGATATCCGGGAATAGCGCGGATCCGACTCTACAATCACTTATTGTCGAGAGAACGGCAGAGCAGAATGAGACCGCTGCACGGAGTGCGAGGCAAAGATTCGGAGACGAATTACCACCAGGTCTCTTGTCACAAGGGGAAGAGAGATCATATGAGCGACTATATGGGAAGGCAACCTTCATGGCGTCGGATTGGAAAGAGCAGCTTAGTGCGAGAGGCGAGCTAGTAGCGGAGGTCGAAAGAGATGGAAAACAGATACTCCTGCGGCAGAATGACGAGGGGGAGCTGGAAGAAGTGGAACATACGGAAGACATGGAAGAGGCCGAAGAGGGTGCGGAAGAGAAAGAGGATTCAGCTAGCATGTACGACTTCGGATCTGAAGAAGGTCTGCAAGGATTGGAAGAGCTGGAGGCCATGCGGAACAAAGGTGTCTCATCCGACCCTCTACGACCCAGTTCAGACTTTGCGCGCACGCATCCATTGACCGAGGCTGGTCGTATGAGAACGTGGCCTTCGACTGCCAGAATGTCTGTCGCGTGGGAGGAGCCCTCGTCAATCATTCTGAAGAGACAAGGCAATAAGCATCTGTCTGAGAGGGCACATGAAACATTTGGTGGAAAGAATCTCCCCCTTTCTGTGGCCACCCCATCTCATATACCGTCACATCAGATCCACATGCCAGTCGCCATGGATGCCGGAGAGTCATCCATGTCTAATGTCGATGCGGATGTCTACTTGGCGACGATGACTCCTGGCCTACATGCTTCAGCTTTGTCGGTGTTGGTTGAGGTGCGCAAGCGACTTGGATCGGGCTGGATCGAACGCTTGGTGAGGAAGCCAGGCGGCCCATTAGTTCTGGACGCTGGAGCTGGTGGTGCAGGTATCATGGCCTGGCAAGAGATCTTGAGAGCTGAGTTTAGTAGACTCAGGGAAGAGCACGATGACATTGCCGCCATGGACGAGATTCCCCCTTCCAGACAATCTGTCATTATTGGGTCTGACACTCTCCGACATAGGATCAGTCGCATATTGGAGAATACCCAATTCCTCCCTCGCTTACCCGAAACAGTCTTTCCTTGGGCACCAGAAGTCGGCCCGGAACCACGAAAGTTGTATGATGTAATTATTGCCCCTCACAACCTGCTGGGCATAAGAGAGGAGCATGTTCGAAAGCGACACGTTCAGCGCCTGTGGTCACTTCTAGATCCCAACGGGGGAGTTCTCATCCTCATGGAGAAGGGGCTTCCACGAGGTTTCGAAGCTATAGGTGCAGCTCGAGAAATGCTTCTCAATCGACATATCCAAGATCCTTCTGTACCCATTGTCGAGCCAGAATACGAGAACAGAGACAGACCGACATGGAAGAAAGAAACCGGCATGATCGTAGCTCCTTGCACCAACCACGTCCAATGCCCAATGTACACCATCCCAGGCGAAATGGTCGGTCGCAAAGATTTCTGCTACTTCAGTCAACGCTTTACCCGCCCAGCCTACCTCCAAAACATTGTCGGTATCGCCCACTCCAATCACGAAGATATACAGTTCAGCTACATTGCGGTGCAGCGCGGTCGCGACCAGCGTCGCGCAGAATTCGACACTCATGCCCAAGGCGTCTCCCAAGGCGCACATGCCACCGACGCCGCATTCGCCGGCTATGAGCCTCTCGCGCCTTCGCCCGCCCAAAACCGCGGACCCGATCACGACGTCGTCTACTCGCCCTACGACCTCGAGGACGCAGAGGAAGAATTCGAGGACATCACAATCTCCGACGAGATCAGACAAGAGGCCCGTAAACCCCCCGCAATCAACACTCTAAGCCTACCACGCATGATTCTGCAGCCTCTAAAGCGCCGCGGCCACGTCATCATCGACGTCTGCACGCCCGCCGGCACCCTCGACCGCTGGACCGTCCCACAAAGCTACAGCAAGCAAGCCTACCGCGACGCCCGCAAATCCCAATGGGGCGACCTCTGGGCCCTCGGCGCCAAAACGCGCGTCCCGAAGAACGTGCGCACCGGCCGTCCGAAGAAGGGCTTCGGGCACAACGACGTGCGGGGCAAGGGCAGGCAAGCGAAGCGCGGGGGCGACAAGGGCGCGAGGAAGACGGACTACTACGAGATCAACGAGGACGGTTCAGTCAGGCTGGAGAATCCGATCGTGCTGGGCCGGAAGGCGAGCAGGCGCGAGCGCAGAGATGTGCGGAATAAGGAGCGGGAAATCGCGGGGACGGCGGCGATGGCCCGGGCGAATGAGGATGCGTATAGGGAGTTGGAGGGTGTTGCGGAGGACTTGAGTGCGGAGGAGATTGAGGATTTGAGGAAGGACTTGTCTTGAGTGATGGCTGGGGGATGGGGAGGGATCATTGGGAAACTGTAAGATTATATATCTAAAAAAAGAATGGTCGGCATGGCTTCGGGCGCCAGTTGTATTATTATGTTGTACGATAGACACGGCAACGCTCCTCCGTTGGGGATATCTCACCTCGAGGGTGGGAATTTGTATTATGTTTAGTAGTCTATGGCGTACGCCTTGCGCATTGTTCATGTAACTATAGACTGGACAGGGTTGGAGAGCCCCCGTTGTACCCATTCATGTTCCATGCATCGTTTCTGCGTGCTCTAAGCTAAGAAGCACCCATTGTTGATGAGCAATTATTTTCAAGGCAGCCTTTGTTTAATACACTCTACACCACCACCCCCAGCAGCCCTCCACTCACCGCGCACTAACCGCCACCTCCACAAAATTAATATACCTCACCCTCGCCTCCTCTCCCCCCTCTCCACCACCATCCCCATCCCCATCCCCATCCCCATCCCCCTCTCCCTCCTCACAAACAACCAAATCATCCACCGCCCCCACCGTCCCCGTCCGCACCCTCACCCCCTCCCCCCTCTCCAAAAACCACCTCGCCAGCCCCAACGCCCGCTCAATCGCCCTCCCACTCGCCCTCACATACACCGCCTCGTCCGCCCTGGTCCCTGCACCACCACTACCACTACCACCACCACCACCGCTCCTCCCCCGCCTCAATTCCTCCAGCGTAACCGTCTCGACGTGTGCAGCCGTCAGGCTCTCGGTGCCGCGGCGGGGGATCAGGGCTTGTGTGCGCCGCGCGGCGATGTGGGCGAGGAGGGTGCGGATGCGTTTGATGGTTGGGATGAAGGGGGTGGTGGGGCGGAGGTAGATTGTTTGTCGGGCGGTGGAGTGTGGGGTGGGAAGGGGGGGGTGCGGGAGGGGGCGTTTTGTGATTTTCGTTGCTTTGGAGAGAGGTGTGTTAGTGGAGGTTGTGTGGTAAGGGAAAGGGAGGGGGAGGGAGGGGGGAGGTACTGGTTGGGAGTTTGGCGCGTTTGTGGGGGTTGGGTTTGCGGGTGTGTGGTGGTTGTCGTGGTGTGGGTGCCATTGTGGGTGATTGAGTTGGTTCTGTGGATTGGGTGTTGCGTGTTTGGAGGTTGGTGGGTGTGGTTGAGGTGTGTGAGGTGTGTATGAAGTTGGATATGAGTGAGGATGAGAGTTTTCGAGTATGGATTAATTAGCTAGCAGCTCAAGATCTTTCCCCACTGACGGTAGCGCACAGACCGTGCGGGTAGGGCTGAGCACGGCCCGTGTTTAACGTCGTCACTTTTAACATCTATCCGCTTCACTTATACAAAACTTCCATCTCCGTCTCAAACTCTCGCCAACCAGCCAGCCAGCCAGCAACATGCTCTCGCAATAACCCCAAGCCTCGAATCACCACTCCCTCATCACAACCATCACCATGATCCTCCGACACATCCACATCCCCAACCCAATCCCCTACCTCCGCGCCTCCGCCCTCCAAGAAACCCTCGTCGCATCCTTCCTCTCCGCCAAAGCCACCCACACCCCCCTCCCACCCCCAGCAATCATAACCGCGCAATTCCACCCCGTCTACACCCTCGGCCGCCGCGACAAAGACACCCTGACCCCCGCGCAAAAGACAACCCTCTCCCACAACGGCGCCGCCGAAGTCCACTACGCCCTCCGCGGCGGCCAAACCACCTTCCACGGCCCGGGCCAACTAGTCGCCTACCCGATCCTGGACCTGCGCTCGCACGGCCTGACGCCGAGGCGCTACGTGTGTATGCTGGAGCAGGCGCTGATAGCGACGTGTGCGCGGTACGGGGTGTGCGCGGGCACGACGGAGCATACGGGCGTGTGGGTGGGGGTGGGTGAGGGGGAGGGAGAGCGGAAGATTGCGGCGGTGGGCGTGCATATGCGGCGGTTTGTGACGAGTCATGGGGGGGAGGGGGGTGGGGGGGGGGGGGGGGGGGGGGGGGGGGGGGGGGTTGCGGGGGTTTTGGTCGAGGAGGTGGCGCGGAGGATTGGGGTGGAGGGGGTGGTGAGGGTTGGTGAAGAGGATGTGGTGTGATGTGGGTTTTGTCGTGGTGATGAATTGTTCTGGAGCCAGCTAGGAAGATGTAGGAGGCTGTGGGGATCGCAAAGCCCGGCATGATGGCAGAAATATGAATCAACAGAGTTCAAGAGAATAAGAGCCGAAAGCATGACTGGCTACACATAGCTCAAGCATCTCCAACAACGATTTGACCCGGCCCCTTCCTCATCTCCTTCTCAGCGTCCGCAAGAATCCATTGATACGCCTCCACCTCCTCCCAACTCCTCGGCCAGTACTCTATCTCCACTTCCTTCTCACCCTGCCTGACCCTCAAAACCATCCTCGCCTCATAGTCCTCCACCAACGGCCGAAACGTCGACGACTTATGCTCCACCACCACATCGCCATTCCTCACGCCCGCCTTCTCCGCCCTCGACCCCACGACAAGACCGTACACCACGCGCTCCTCTTCAGACCCATCAAGGCACTCTTCCGCAAACCCGAGCTCAAAGCCATACAGATCTTGCCTAACACACCTCATGCCCAGATACGCGAAGCTATCCGGGTGAGGCATCATGAACGCCCCATCCATCATCGCCTCGAAGCCATCCCAGCCTTTCTGTCCCAGATACAGCGCCACCGTATTCTTCCATGTCTGCACATGATCATGCAGTCCCGCGCGCTCATTCGCAACAATCTGCACCATTAAACTATCAAGATCGGGCGCGTTGGGCGTGTTGCGCAACTCATATGCCAGACCGACGAAATACATGAATCCGCGAAACTCGGCCTGCATATGGATCGTCTCACGGGACGCAGGTGCCGCAGTAAGTTCATCGTTAGTCCAGGCTATCGCTTCAGACGTATAATACGCCGCCGCAAAGCGATTCAGCAGCACAAGCACGCCCGACCACGACATCATCCCAAACCCACACGGCAGCAAAGCACCATAGTACAAGCCCACACCCCCATTAAACCAGCGCGCCGAGCCCCGCACATCCGCCGCCGTTTCTACCAGCCGCAGCCAGCTCTGGACGAGCCTCCGCGCGACCAAGTCCCGCGTAACGCCGGGATCCGGACCGGACATTCCGTCCGTGTACGCGAGCACAAGCGATTGCGCAAACGCGCACATGCCTGCGCCGCCGCGGTACGGGTTGCGCACGAAGAAGAGCCTGTATGCGCGGTGCGGCTCGTGGAAGAAGGAGGCTGTTTTCGCGGCTAGCTCGGCGGTCCACTGCGTGATATTGGCGGGAGGCGTGTGCTGCGTGCTGTAGGCGCCGAAGCTCTCTGCGGCGTTTACGCCAGGTGGGTATTTGTGCAGGGCGCCGATGGCGAGGACGGTGTTGAGTGCGGCGGCGGGTGTGCCGCGTGTGGTGAGGACGGGACTGAGAGCAGGGTGGTACTCGCCCCATGTCCATGCTGCGAGGGCGTTGGGTGGCATGTTGCGCAGGTCGAATGTGAGGGTCCAGGTGAAGGGTTGGTGGGACGGGGGCTGGGGGATGAAGGTGTTGAGCGCGCCGGTGAATGCTCCTTTGGCGTCGTAGCGGAGGTGTGGGAAGGTTCGGGGGTCGGTGTGGTTGGTGTCGTGGGCGGCGACGCGGAGCTGGAATCGGATGTTGCCGTGGGGGTGTCGTTGGAGGAAGAACCATTCTCGTCTGGGTGGGGAGGCGTGTGTGTTGATGTGTGTGTGGAGAGGCAGGTTTCCTTTGTCGTCGTATGCGAAGATGGGGTTCTTGTCGAATGTAGGTAGTTTGATGCCGTTTTCCTCGACGGGGATGGCGAGAGCATAGGGGAATGTGGTGAGGGCTGCGCTGTCTAGGATCATGGTTATGTCTAGATGTGGCGCCTGTTTCTTGGAGGTGTCGTTGTTGTTGTTGGAGTATGGAAAAGGAGTAATCTTGATGAAGACACCGTTATCTGCGACGGGCTTATACTCGGGTGGAGACATGCGGTCGTGCAACACGATATACAAGATGACGGCTAGGAGAGTAAGCAGTATAAGCCAGATATTCATGTGGACCATGAGTGAATCAGAGGCGAATGTAGACCACATATCCGAAAGAAACCAAAAATTGTCTCTTGAATGTCGGATGAAAGACGATATATCAGGGCTGATCGTTGCTTATGAGCTTTCAAGTGTATGGATGTGTGTATGTAGAGAGGCTGTCAGCAGGCATGAAATGGCCGACCACACTGAAGACGACTATGCAAGCTGTCATGGAGGCTTCCCACGAATGTCCAATGAACGGCTGCGATGATGTTGGAGCCGGGCTGTTATTACCTGTTGATGCCTGTTGATGTTGTAGGGTCGAAGGTATGGGATGTTCTCATTCGTGCTGAAATCTTTTTCTGCTTAGCTTGGGGGGTTTATTTGTCTCGGGATCAACCATCCATGTCTGGCAGGGTACTTGGACGGGATGGTTTTGGAAGAACTAACATTTCATTGGTTGAAGATCTATACAGATTGTATGAAACTTGCCCTCCATGTAGAATATACTAGTCTCTGTAGTATATCGAATTCAAGATATCAATGTTTATGATACTGACCTTTCAGTTCAGATGAAGATATGGCTGACATGCCTATCGCAACACTTGAGCACGATTCAACAACCCTGTCACCGGAATAACACAAATTGCTACCGATTGCAGTGCCTGTGATGTTGTTCATTTGCAACATCACACACATACATAAGCTCAACGGGGACAGAAAATCCAATCTTTCGACTCGCTCATCAAACATTTACCCGCTCTTGATATGCGCCGCACTCCACTCATCAACCAGATCGACATAGTCCTCCGGCCCATACGGCTCCGTAATTTCCTTGAACCACCCTCCCTTCCTACGTACCTTCAACCCCAGATCATTCAGCATCAGGTCCACATACGGAATCGCATCAAACACAAAATCGGGCAAACTGGCACCATACCCAGTCGGATATCTCCACTTGCCCCATTGCGTATGCAGCATGACCTCCTTTGTAACTTCTTCATCCGAGCTAGCCAGCCTATCCAATCTTCCGTCCAGGAATGCAGAAATCCACAGCCCTTGTGTAGCTGCACAGATGGCCGTGCTAACAGACGAGACAAGCCCAGCAAACGCAATATTGCGGTCCTTGATCCGCGCCGGGGGAACGATGAAGCGGTAAAGGCGGAAAGGATCGTTCTTCGGAGTGAAGTTCAACTTCGGCTGATTTGCAAGCCTGGGGAACATTGTCAGAATATCCTTATCGGCCTGTGCTGCCAGCTTCTTTTGGTCTTCTAGTGGCAGTGGCAAGCCGATACCTGTTGTCCCAAAGCCGCTGAAGCTGAAGCTCGGCTCCTTCTTCCACCCCGTCGAACACACAACTACATCAGCCGCGCAAGTCTCGCCCGTTGTTAGATGTACTGTATGATCCGAGAGCCTCTCGACATCCGCGATGTGCACCCTTATTCTTCCATCTTTAATCATATCAAAGAAATTCTGATCGTAGTTATGAATACTCAGCCCGCTTCCAATCCAGAACGTCGTATTCCACGGCAACAGTTTCTTCGTCTCCTCATGCGAGTTGTACCCGTTCAACTCTACCACATCCGCCGCCAGCGCAGCCCAGAACTTGTCCACGATGAATCGGCCTACACGCGTGCCGTGCAGGAATCGCCGTGGCCACGAAAACCCGTCTTCGCCTTCCCATGGACAAGGGCTGAACCATGACATCCATCTGATATGCAGCAGCTTCTCGAGCCGCTTCTTGCCGCCCATCACCCACGGATGCGAGATCCATACGGGTCCGTTGCCAGAGGGCCGGATGACGAGGTCGACGGTAGCGCCGGCGTCGACATAGGCGTACGCAACGTCATATGCAGATTTCGCACCTCCTATCACAACCGCGTGCTTCGCAGTTTTGGTGGTGTCGCCATTGATGCAAAAGTCTTTAGCATGAAAAATTGGCACATTGAGCGCTTCCACGCCCGGATACGTCGGGAAATTGGGCGTCGACGTAAGCCCCGTCGCGAGGATGATTTTCTTCGTCTGGATGGTCTCCGGGCCTTTCGTGTCGGAGGTTGTGGTGATGGTCCAGCCGCCGGCGGCAGAGGGCGCGAGCGAGGTGACCTTTGTGTTGAACTGCGTGCGTTTGTAGACGCCGAACTTCTTTGCGTAGTCGGTGAGATAGGCGTGGAGGACGGCGCCTGGGATGTGTTGGCCGGGTGCGACGCCGTAGAGGGCTTCGCTCATCGGGTAGTCGGGATACTCGTATGTGCCGTGCAGGTTGTTGCTTTTGAGGCCTGGATAGAGGCGGTCGCGACCCCATGTGCCGCCGCATGTCGCGGCGGATTCGAGGACTTGGATGTCCTCGTCCGGGTGCAGTTCGATGTAGGCTTTTGCAGCGGCGAGACCGAACCAGCCTTTTGGTTTGTTAGATTGCATGTTGAAGGGAGTACGAGGGGACTTACCGGCGCCGACGACTACCATGTCGCGTTCGCCTGCCATGTTGTTCTAGGATAGAGGCCTGGTGTGTATGTTGTATACTCTAACAATGACCCCACACAGTCGCACAAGCTGTAACACACGTACTCAGTGATCCAGTATTGCTACAAAAAGAGGAGTCGTTTCATCAATTGCCTTGTCTCCACCCTTTTCCTCAGGGCATACGGGCCGTTAAAAGCTAATGAGCATAACGCTCCGCGTATAGCTTATCTCGATAGGGGAGGAGAGTTTACTTGATAGCAGGGAACGGCATCTTTCACTCAGCCACGACATCCCAGGCCATGGCCAAAACATAGGCTCGGATCAAGGGCACACCACAACGCTCACGGACCGAGGCACTGCTATCATGGCTTCAAACGTTCTTCGGGCAATGGCTCGCTCGAAGAATAGATAATATCAAGATTAGAAGGAGATCGCCCGAGGCGGAGTCGTACGCGCACTAAGTGTTGTTAGTCTAAATAAGGGTTGGGCCAGCCCGCGACTGAAGAGTTTGGGACCGGGTATTTTTGAGTGTTTGCCGAAGCGGGGTTAGACTGCGCCTGTCGCGTGCCGAAGTAGGAGACGTTTGTTGTTAGAGAGTCCGCCGTCGCGATGATAGGGCTTGGGTCTTGATCCGATGCGGCTTCGGTATGGAGTTGGTGTTCGGTCGTTCCGTGAGATAGAGAGAGAAAGGGGTTACATTTGTTAATCAACATTACTTGCATATCGATGTCTTATGTGGGGCTGCTTGATCGAAACAAGCAAATGCTAAAAAAGTAAAGCTGTAGACCTTGAGCATTAGCGGTCGTTCAGGCTTCAGCGGTAGTTATGCAGAGAAAACATGAAGATTTTTACACGAGGTTCGTTCTGTAGATCGGAGCATGCCCCTTGATGAATGTAATTCACGAAAAAGTACACACCAGGCTCAGAACGGTGTCAGCTTTGTGGGCTAGTTTCAATAGTATGGGCGGAGTCGGACGCAGTTGCATAACCTTTCATTTCCACATCTCGAGGTATCTATTCGTACATTGCATGATCCGTAGATCTGCCCAGGTGGATGCCTCCCGTAACAGTAAGCTCGCATCCCGTTGTATATGCAGATGCATCGCTCAGCAGATAAATGGCTGCACCAACAATGTCGTTTACTGTTCCAATCCGCTTCAGGGGCGCTGCATTGTACATGTGATGTACTGCCTCTGGATGAGCAACATCACGAGCAGCCTGTAGTTCATCAATGATGTTGTTCCGATGTGGATTTAATGTTTCTTACCTTTGTCTGAGCCGTGTCAGTAAATGCTGGAGCTATGGCATTGACACGAATGTTCTTGGGCCCAAGTTCAACAGCGAGAGCTGAGGTGAGCATCTTCACGCCTCCTTTACTTGCGTTATATCCCGTCATGCGATAGCCGGGCAAGACACAGTGAGCAGTGATGGATGAGACTGTGACGATGCTGCCTGGTTTGTTCTGCTTCTTGAACTCGTCTGCGGCCATCTGCGCCGTGAAGAATGTGCCCAAAACCTAGAGCATATAAGTCTCTGCCCCTTGCCATAGTCCTCCCTTTCGCATAAAACTTACGTTGACCTTCTGAATCTTCTCCACTTCAGCCCAGGACTGCTCCGTGAATGGCTTGTCGATAGCTATTCCTGCCGAAGTAAAGACTCCATCCAGTCCTCCAAGTGCTTTCAATCCTGCTGCGAATGCAGATCTCAAAGACTCCTCGATACTGACATCGGCCTGGTGATAAGTGACTTTGCGATTGAACTTCTTTGCAACTGCGTCCAGATCTTCCAGCGGCTTATCGACAATGTCTAGAACTGCAACGTCTCCGCCCATTTCACAGATTGCATGCACGACTGCATATCCAATACCTTGCCCGCCACCAGTGACGATGTATTTACGATCAGTGAGCTCAAACATGGCGCGCACGCTGCGCACGCTTCCTGATGCCATTGCTGAATATTGCTAAATCCAAACTCGATGTTCTCGAATTTTGATATCCTTGCTCTTGACCCAAGTAGGTATTGAAAATATGTATGCGTAAGACGTTGTCGAGTTAGGAAGTCAAATTAAACTTGATCTCCGCCGGGGCGTTGATACAACCTCCAGGCTCCATGTCCTAATACGGGTTGTGGTCATATACCGTCAGGTAGCTTTCAATCTGCCGAAAACTTACTTGCGATGCGGTGTAGCAGTTGAACTGATAGTTTGATAGTACCAAGGTAGACTGACGAGTGTACCAGCGAACCAATCGGAAAGGACCGATAATGTATTTGAGCTTCGGTTACGTACTCGATCCCTCGGAAGTGGGCCAGGTGTGTTACCCGAGGCCAAACGCCTCGTCACGCATCGCCATCATTGATCGACACGATATCATCAAGATAGCAAGGGTATAGGATCGATCTCATCACGCACACAATACATATCGTCAGAAATACCCGTAGTCTGTGGCATCGAAAGTCCGCTGCCATGCAGTGTTGCGGCAACTCTATCTGCACGCATTCAAGCCATGTTTCACTAGGGTCTCGTATAGCTGATATATGACTACCATCCATCTGCTTAGCCCAGGTTAGGCTATGGGGATCAATCATACTTAGGCATCATCTCCTCGCCACCAATCGTCAGCTTATCCTAGCTACTTCGTAAGCCTTTGTGGTAGCTCCCGCTCAGGTCTTATCATAACCCCACTTCTTCGAGTTCATTAATGCAATGCATACCATCAGGATCCACCAACACGCGACGGCTCATCGGGATCACAAACGAACCTGTTTGACGTGCAGAAAGGTCCACACCACAACGTATTCCAGCGAAAGGACCCCAACTGAAGCACAGACCTAGCACTTGTTATTCTGATCTATCAAAGACACTCACTTTGAGAACGGGATACTCAAAATCACATGGGACACGCCTGAGGGTGTTCAAGCTATGAGGCTTCGTACATAGCACGAGTCAAATTTCATAAATCCACAGCAGGGCAGCTACATGAGTCGCATATTTCGAGAGAGCGTCGTCTTGCCAAAGAAACTCGGCCTCTAAGATACCCAATGCCCCGACCAAAAGTGCTTCCGGAGAATCGCAAACGCTCGGTACAAGCCTGTGTGCCATGCAGAAACTCGAAAGTACGGTGTGACGCACAACAACCATGTCAAGGGTGCAGGAAGAGGGGCAAGATTGAAGCATGCATCTTCGACGCACCTTACCACCATTCTCATCCCTCACGAGCCTCGACAAACTCACGAGAGGATCCCGGAAGCGCCTTCACGGAGGCGTCCCTGACCAGTCCAGTGGATGTTCCAGATGCTGAAGCGGGAACAGAGCATTCCACGAATGATGCAGGATCTTCTGACGAGACATGGCAACCGGGATCCCACAAGACTCGAAGTCGCATGTTGTTCAGCTCCAAAGGTGAACAACTGTATCTGGGCGGGACAGCTTCCATATCCTATCTCCAGTTCCTGAGACAAGTCTTGAAGCGACATGCGGGTCCGTCCGCGTTCACAGAAAGTGGTGTCAACAACGTAATGTTAGAAGTCGATCCCAGCCCCTATGGTAATATTGATGAAATCGGTCGATTGGACGTGGAGCATCAAAAAGCATTAATACAATGTTACTTTGAAGCCGTGAGTACTCAATTGATAACATAGAGGCACCATCTGATTCAATTTGCAGACCAGTGCTATACTTGATCTCTTCTCAAGTGATGAGATATACACTGCGCTCAGTTTCGAGAACATTATTGGTGGAGACCGCAAACAAGACCGGAGAGCCACTCAAGCTATTTTCCACATGGTTCTAGCTATTGGAGGTCAATGCCGTGGCATATATCCAAATGACACGAAGTTTGCAGCGCATTACTTCTATAAAGCACAACAGTTCGCATTCGAAGGCTTTCTCTGCGATCCAAGTCTGAACATGATCAAGCTATTTCTCCTCATGGCATTCTATATGCTAGGAGCTTGTCGCCGAAACGCAGCTTTTATGTATCTGGGAGTTGCCTCAAAAGCAGCTAATGCTCTGGGTCTCCACCGGAAAGACCAGTACCGGGTGCTGCCGAAAGCGGATGGTGCCGAGAGGTGAGATCCGAGTCCCATTCCCATGCTTATGTTTCATATTCTGATGCAAGGGATAGGCTCCGCACATGGAAGAGTCTCTGTGTGCTTGATACCATCGTCAGCTCGATCTTGGGTCGTCCCGGAAACTTCTCGTCAGTATGGCATGACGACCTAGAGTCCAGTAGCGACAACGACCGAGATTCTCGTTCTTCAAGCCTTGCCATCGATGCAACCTATGAGATGTCATGTCTTGTCGACTCAATGGAGTCACGTCTCTGGAGCAGCAAAAGTGTAGAGTGCCAGCCAGCAGAAGATTTTCTTCACGAGCTTCGAAAGTGGAGCCAGAAGCTGCCACCGGAGCTTCGACGCTTCTCCAGCGACAACATGTTTGTCTCAAGCCCGGCAGATCGTGAGCTGCTCGTAGGAGCAGCCCATGTTGCTTGTGTATATTACTTTGCAGTGATTCTGGTGACGAGACCGTTCCTGACATCTCACATTATGCTCAAGCTCCGCGATCGCGCCAGAAAGTCACACAATCATGCGGTTGCAGATTCGAGTGCATCGATTGAGCGTGCAAAAGTGGCCAACCTTGCCCAGGTATGTGTAGAGTCGGCTACATACATGGCTATCATGGCACACAGAGCTATGGAAGCTGGAATTCTATTACGCAACATGTGTCTCATGAAGTAAGCTCATCAATCTGTCACTCAGTTACAGATCACCACCGTAACCGCGAGCTAACAAATCTTCAGAGCATGGATATTCGCCGCTGGTCTCCTCCTTGGATTCTCCCTCTTCGCCTCAACCGATGAAGACACCGATACCAGCACCGCCTTTGCCGCTGCCCGGTCCGTCCTCGCAAACCTCGGCGAACTATCTCCCCAAGCAAAGCATTACTACGAGATTCTAACCGCCTTCTCCGACGCCATCACGAAGAGCCGTCAGCAACGCCTCGACGAGAAACGTAAAGTCACGAACCAGTTCATCGACCAGATTTTCACCATCGATCTAAAGAAGGCATCGCCTGCAGATCCACCGTACCTGAGTCCTGACTCGGGCCACTCCGGAAGTATCGACATGCTAGGACAGGGCGTTGAAAGAAACTTCGATTTTGATGCTGCGTTGGCGATGCCTGGGTTCAGTGTAGATGATGCGGCGAATCTGCCATTGCTTTGGGACGACTTTTCGGTTGATTGGCCACAAATGGGCGGAGCCATGTATTTTGACTGTGGCTGAAGCCTCGTTGGTGAAGTTGAGCGGGGGTGTAAGAAGTCTTTGCTCATCTGAGGAACTTTTCAGAGCCATGCCCGTGGCACAAACGTATCAGGGTAGCCGCTTGTTGCGAACGCAGGCTGTGCAGCAGTCCAAAGCGTCCTGTGAGACCTACAGAACAAGCTGAATATCTTGTGCAAGCGCTTGACATAGTACGAGGGCAAGCACTTGCGTTATTGTCACAAGGAGAATGTGAAAAATAATGGGAATCCGCCTCGAGTAAAGCAAAAGAGGGATACTCAACTGCTTTGTCAAATTTGTAACTCTATCTATCAATAATATCAAGAGTCATGGGATACCAATTGAATGATTCTGAGCTGATGTACAAAACATTGAAAATATCAATTCTTGTCAGGAGACACCAAGTAGCAAAATGAGAAATAGTACACTGCATTCAGGGGCCACGTAGAACTTGCCAATCAGGGGTAAAATATATGATCGCCTAAGGCATTAATATGTCTCGGGAAGCGCCCAAACAACCATTCTCATTGGTCAGAGTGCTCGGTCCGGTTCTCCCCAGTTGTTCCATACGACCTCCCACGTAAGCGCTGACAACCAACAACAGCAAAGCATGAGGCTGGTAAATACCTCAGCAGTGCTTATCCGGCGCACGAAACGCTCTCCCTTCTGAGATGCCGTGACACGGGTATTTCGATGGTCTGACAAGCATCCCCGCTCCCTACTGCGGAGGTGGAAGCTGTGGGGTAACAGAGCAAGTACAAATATATCCAAGTTGCAACTTCTTACAAACATTCTGTCGAAATTCTTGGTCCGTCAAAGTTCGCAGCTCAATCTGTGTTGTCTTCTATCCACAAGTTTAGACATTTCACCACAATACACATCTTCCCCATCCCGTGACCCTCGCCCAAAGTTTCAAACCCCCTCCTATAATCACTATCAAAATGCGCGGCAAGATCGCCCTCGAGGAAGCATTCGCGCTCCCACGCTTCGCTGAAAAGCAACGCTGGTGGGCCGGCCTGTTCGCACTGGATCCAGACAAGCACGTCGCCGAGATCAACGACATCACAGAGCAGCGCATCAAATACATGGACGAGCATGACGTCGGTTACACGCTGCTCTCTTACACAGCGCCCGGTGTGCAAGACATCTGGGACCCGAAGGAGGCGCAGGCCCTCACTGTGGAGATCAACGATTATATCGAGGGTGCGATCAAGGGGAAGGAGGACAGACTGGGGGCACTGGCGTTAGTTTTGCATCATCTCTGTGCTTGGAGAGGGAGTTGAAAGGCACGAAACTGATGTTGAATACAGCACATTGAGCATGCACTCCCCCGCCGAAGCCGCGGCCGAGTTGCGTCGCTGCGTCGCCAAGGGCTTCAAGGGCGCGCTCGTGAACGACACGCAACGCGCCGGGCCAGAAGGCGACGATATGATCTTCTACGACGGGCCAGAATGGGACGAATTCTGGGGCACTGTGGCCTCGCTGGAGGTGCCGTTCTATCTGCACCCGCGCAACCCAACTGGCAGTATCCACGAGAAGCTGTGGGCGAAGCGTTCGTGGCTGATCGGGCCGCCGCTGTCGTTTGCGCAAGGCGTCAGCCTGCACGTGCTGGGGATGGTGACGAACGGGGTGTTTGACCGGCATCCGACGCTGCAGGTGATAATTGGGCATTTGGGGGAGCATATCCCGTTTGATCTGTGGCGGATCAATCACTGGTTTGAGGATATCAAGAAGCCGCTTGGGCTGTCGTGCAAGAAGACGATTCGCGAGTACTTTGCGCAGAATATCTGGATTACGACCAGTGGGCACTTTTCGACACCGACGTTGCATTACTGTATGACCGAGCTGAGCGCAGATCGGATTTTGTTCAGTATTGATTATCCTTTTGAGAATTTCAAGGATGGGTGTGAGTGGTTTGATAATATGGAGATAAATGATACGGATAGGAGGAAGATTGGGAGGGACAATGCGAAAGCGTTGTTCAAGTTGGGGAAGTTCAAGGACTCAGAGGCGTAGGATGGACGAACCAGGGGATGAATGTCTTGTGGGATACCATGTCTGCTAGAAAGATGTGCGCAATTTATCTATATATACCTGTTCTTTGGCATAGTTAATTGAAACTCTATGAAGTTAGATGTGATGGCTGTTGATAGCTTCCCCTCAGGCTCTTTCCTACGCAAATATCATCCCAAGGCAATAGCTTAAAAACCCAACATTATGGTCAGTCACACATGTGATCTTCCAACGTTGTCTCCATTTGTAGGTCATTGAGAGTTGCTATAACACCTGTTGTACATATTTACCATGTTGAGTTAAGGTAACATATTTTCATTGTGATATTTTACTGTACAAAGGAATACATGTGAAGTATAACTTAGTCAACAAAACGAGACCTTCATATAACAATTGTGAATTGACACGTACATATCTGATATACGACAACTGCATGGCCTGAAACAGAAGTACATTTAGAGATAACACAAATATCCTTCAACCACTATGAATTCCCCCTAATATCAAGCATCCCTCATCCCAAACTCAAACATTGTATTACTCTCCAACCCATTCTTATCCCTCATCTTCACCGCCGTCTCCCTCCCGGCCACCGGCACCCTGAACTCCTTCTTCCCTCCACCCTCTACCTCATAAGGCCATGGCAAATACTCCGGCAACAGCCCCAACTGCCTCAACACACTGCCCTGATCCCACGCAATATGCTCATGATACAGTCTATCTCCACGCACATTCACGACCCCCGTGAACGGGATCTCCACGTACCGGCCCGTCGGCGGTACTCCAGGCAACAGCCAGTCCACCATCCTATCATGCGTAAACTTGAATATGAACTCGTCAATCACTCTGTCGATTCCCACGGTGCGGGAGATGAGCTCAAGCTCCGTGTCGTCGGGATTAGAGAAAATGAAGTGATGCGCGTAGAACGTGGACAGGCGCTCGCGGCCGATCCCACCGGTCATGGTGGGGATGTGGTTCACATACGGCTCTTGGACCATTGTGGACATTGTTGCATCGACGTCCCGGGTTTCGAATTCGTAGGCCGTGTGCTCGTCCCAGATTGCTTCGAGGTCGAAGTAAGGGCCGTGCATGAGTGGTTTGAGGAATGAGAGGTTGCGTGTGTGCGACACGGACTCGGAGGCGTAGTTGAAGTCGACTGAGAATGGAGTTGCGAATAGAGGGGATGTCATGGTTGGGTAATCGTATGCTGTGAGAGCGGCTGAGCGGGGAAGTTTGGTGGGAGATTTGCCGGAGAGATGAACGAGGATAGGAATTGGGGATTTGGCTAGAGATTCGAAGTCGGAGTTCGAGGAGTAAATGATGGCGCCTGCGATGGTTTTGTGAGTTGCAAGGAGTGGTGCTGCGCGGGTCCAGAGAGCGGTTGAGTACACTTTAGACGATTAGACGATGAATCGTGATGTTTGTTCCAGCAGTAACTTACCAACCAAGCCTATGCTACCATTTGGTTCACATTTCTCCTCCTTCTCCAAGGCGTCGATGGCTGACACAAAGGGATCTTTTGAACTTGCAAAAGCTGCCTCTGTGATCTCAATCACAGTATATCCTTCCTCGGCCCATTTGATAGGAACTGAAGGCACACCATGCTTGATCGCAACATTGTCACCTGGTAACGCATCTTCAAGCGTCTCGGTCAGAACAATCACTCCTGGGCCTGATCCTTTTCTAGATAGTGGCTGGAGCAATGATAGTCCATTTGATACCTCTTTCAACTTAGGAACAGGCAGAGGATGGGCGGCTCCATTGCCTTTACTCGTACCGTTACTCATGTCTTTTCAGTGCAATTGTGTTAGATTAAGAGATGTCTTCTCAGTCTCCTTTGCTACACACGTTTGTGTCCTGTATATGTTTGATGTTTGCCAGAAGCAGTAATCAATATGCATGACATGTACTTCAGCCGCTACCCTATCAGTGTGGTTCGGTAGCCCCTGGCGGGCCTGACCCCGCCCGCGGTGTCGGGCCACGCGAGTCATGATCAGAATTAGCGGTGGCGTGCGCGCGAGGCAGGGGTCGGGTGAGTTCTGATGCTCGGATACTGCACCCGAGTCAACAACAATGCTATGCCGTCAGCCTTGATCGCATTATTCCCTGTAGAACAACGCTCGGAAGTCGATCACCAGTTCACTGAGCCGATGTGAACCTGGCGTTCACCCAGCACTCTGCTATGTGAAGTGTTAAAATGTGAAAAGTATACGGCCCGTACATGACCAGGGACGCTCACATCCTAGGTAAAATGTGTTATGCACAGCGGAAGTCACAAGATGACGGCCGAGCAAAGCCTGTTCAAGTGAACGATAAATATTCCTGAGGATGGTTTCAAACAGTAGCATCTTGACACTATACCCGAATACCTACCTCCTGAGTCGCTCACAACTTCAACTGTAAAACAATATGCCCGCAACCATAGAAGCAATCTGGAGGCCGCTGAGCATCGCTGTCGTAGGCGGTGGCATCGGAGGTCTCTGTGCATCGATCTCACTACGCCGGCAAGGTCACAACGTCACCATCTACGAACGTGCAGATTTCGTGGGTGAGGTAGGAGCCTCGATATCATGCGCTGCGAACGGGACACGATGGCTACACGAATGGGGTGTCGACGTAGCAAAAGGAGACCCAGTAGTCCTACAAAAGCTGATAAACCGCGACTGGAACACGGGCGAGCCGGTCAGTGTGTATGACCTGGGAGACTATGAGCAGAAATGGGGACATGTGAGTTAGGTACGCCCTTGAACGTATCAATGGCACTGACCGGCACAGGTGTATAACATGTTCCATCGACAGTACATGCACGCCATGCTCATGGAGACAGCGCAACAAGAGGCCGGCGAGGGCCCTCCCGTTACAATCGTCCTGAATCACAAGTGCTCTGATATCGACCTCTCGACCGGTAAAATTACCTTCACAAACGGCGTCACTGTGCAGCACGACGCAGTAATTGGCTCCGATGGCATTGGCTCCGCTGTACGCAACATTATTGGCATATTCCCTGAGAAGAAGCCTGCATCGTCGTCCTGTCTGCACGCAAACGTCCACACCGATCTCGCGGTCAAGCTTGGCCTTGTCGATTATTCGAAAAACAGCGCTATCGAGTACTGGGGTGGACACCATTCGCACAACAAGATTGTGCTTTCACCTTGTAATGGGGGCAGTCTGCTATCTTACTACTGTTTCTTTCCTCGCGAGAAGGGTGACTACGCCAATCAGAGCTGGGATGCAGACGCTACGGTGGAAGAACTGCTGGCACCATACCCCGATCTTGACAAACAAGTCCGAGACCACCTTGCTAATGGCGTTGAGGTCCGTCCGTGGAGATTATGGGTGCACCAGCCGTATGAATGGTGGCAAAAGGGGCTGGTCTGTATAATGGGTGATGCGGCGCATCCTGTGAGTGTTTTGATCCGGTCCCGTTCCATCATAACCATGTATTAACATATACTTAGATGATGCCCGATCAATCTCAAGGTGCATGCATGGCCATTGAAGATGCCGCAGCACTCGGCCTCGTATTCAGCAAGAAGCACTTCCGCGGCGATGTGCGGGAGTCTCTGGAAGCATATGAGACGATCCGTAAGGTTCGTGCATCCAGAGTGCAGGCTGCATCAGCACGAGCGCGCGAGAATATCCATGAGCGGATAGGCTTCTCAGATAATACTGATAACCCACTATATAAGGTGCAAGACGAGAAGAACAAGCTGACGATGGAGGAAATGAATTCGTATGACATGCACAAGCATGCTGCGGAGGTCTTCGGACAAATGAGAACGGAGGCACAGGTGTAGGCACTGCAGTGCCAGTGTCCTGAGGAGAGGAATTTCTTGTCAATATTTGATAGCATATTTGAGCCTGTTATTTGCTGAATACCATGTAATGACAATCAAGCTTAGCCTGGTGATACTCGAATCTCTCGTTCTGGTACAGTATTGTGACAACACACACTAGCATTTGGTCAGTACGGTCTGTGTCTCGTCGACTGCTGGCCGTCCTTCATATCTTCGGATATGACCTGATGGCCAGCGATTAATCGTTGTAGGCTCGTGTGTAAATGGTAACGCCCCGAGAACTATACCACGGTATTCGCGTGTTCCGCATCCTAGTTGAAACCATAATGGTCAAGACATTGTTTTCCGCTGGACATTTGTGTTCTGTAAACATTATGCGCAGTGTTATATTCATCAGGTCATTCCTCCATTTTCCCCTTTCCCTTCCCGCAGTCAGCATACACACCCTAACTCTCATTCACTCCACATACCTTCTCCTCTTCTGCACTCTCTGTATCCCCTCCGACCTCCGCATCCTCGCCTGGCTCATCCTCGTCTTCGCCTTCCTCTTCAGTCTCCCACTCCTCGTCTTCGTCCTCATCCTCCTCGTCATCTTCTTCACTCCCCTCAACAGCCTCCCGCATGCCTTTCATCAGTTCTCTCACTTCATCGCTCCACGACTCCTCTGGCCCGAGGAGAGCTGTCATCCTCTCGGCCAGTTGCTTATCGAGCGCGCTGCGCTGTGGCTCCGGGAGTGTGTCGAGAAGCGCGAGGGCGGGAGCAAGAGAGGAGAGGGTTGCCGCAAGGTCGGGGTTTAGGGTCGAAGAGGCCATGATTGTGGTGTGCTTGACCAGTTGATTGCGAAGAGTGTAGGCACTATTCCTCTGTGAACAGGGGTTCGTGGTAAATAGTGGGTCTTTGGTGGACGCGATGAGGAGATCCATGGGAAGACGCGACGCGCCATCCATAGAAGACGGAGAGCTATGAAGGTTTAGTCATGACTGCGCAGACTTCAGACCGATCAGTTCCTGAACCGAGTCCTACTGCTGCCATTTTACGCATCTATTCTGTTGATTGCGAGAACCTGGAAATGGTATGATTTGTCCGCCATGAGTACGGCGATTCACTTCTTGCTTGACGTGCGTTTGGGTTTCAAGCATTGCTCACCTCAGCAGCATCAGCCAGCACTTATCTCAAAACAGGTAAGCTCAAATCCTACCGGACCAGAAGCATATCTACATGTCCGGTCCGGCGGCGCAAGACAAACGACATCTCCAGCTGTGAATCTGATATTTGATGGTCCGGACTTATTGCTGTCAGTACTAGGCCTGAGTCTATGGATGGCGTACGCGGTGTTTGCTTGACCCATGATGAAAGAACTTGTGTTGCAAGAAACTATATTCTCTCGTCCGGGCGTGCCTTTGGTGACGACGCCCGCAGCAAAAATGTATATAAGAGATGAGTGTACAGCTGGCACTCCAACACATCGCAACCAAACCAATAACACAACTTCGAGTCCAAGACAAAGATATAAAGCAAGATGTGCAGTGAAAGTAACACTGGCCTCCTAAGCCAAGCCTTCCCACCCAACCCAAGATTCACCGAGAAAGAACTTCCAGACCAGACAGGAAAAGTACTAAAAACATCATTGCATTCCTTTCAAAGCTCTGATAAATGCATAGATCGTCATTGTCACAGGTGCCGCATCTGGTGTAGGCCGCGAGCTCGCCAAGATCTTGTACAGCGCAAATGCAACCGTTTACGTTGGCGCCCGATCTCTCGCTCGGGTGAACGAGGGAATCAAGTCTATCAGAGCCGAGATGGGAGAGTCGAAGGGACGGTTGATGCCACTGGTATTGGACCTAGCGGATCTCAAAACTATCAGGCCGGCCGTGGAGGACTTCTTGAGCAAGGAGACACAATTGGACGTGTTGGTACACAATGCAGGCGTCATGATGCCTCCAGTCGGTAGCAAGACAGCTGGGGTAAGTCTTTGTCTATTCTGACAGGCAAAATTTAATGGGATGTAGGGACACGATCTGGAGATGGGCACAAATGTGCTAGGTCCATTTCTCTTGACGAGACTCCTTGAGCCCATCCTCAAACAGACAGCATCCCTGAAGAATAAGCTCGATTCAGAGAAAAGACCGGTGAGAGTGGTCTGGGTGGTGTCTGTCCTCGATTCCGGTACACCGAAAGGGGGCGTAGAGTTCGACGAGGTGACGAAGGCTCCGAAGACATTCAAGAAACCTATGGAGAATTACATGTCATCAAAAGCTGGAGGGAGCTTTCTAGCCGTCGAGTTCGCTAGGCGTTGGCATGAAGCTGGGATATTGAGCGTCGTAAGCAAAGTTAGACACGTCATTATGCTCTCGATACTGAAGAGGCACAGAGCTGTAACCCTGGACTCATGAAAACCGAGCTTCAACGTCATCAACCAGCTCTTGTGAGCAAACTCATGGTACGTCGACGTCCCCGTATACGCATGATAGAAAGCTTATTGGAACCAGGGGATTGTATTCAAGCCAGCAGTGTTCGGCGCATACACAGAATTGTTTTGTGGCTTCAGCCCAGACGTGACGTCTCCTGAAAACGGCGGATATTATATACCTTGGGGACGCAAGTCAGAGCTACCCGCGCATCTAAAGAAAAGCCTTCAGGCAACAGAGGACGGAGGACATGGCCTGGGCAGCAAATTATATGGATGGTGCGAGACAGAGACCATGTCCTTCAAAGCATAATGATGACTGTCGGCGATCACGGTGCCGCGATCACGATGTTCCACTCCACGGTATCCATGTACTGCTTCCTTCCTCGTTGTATTCATAGCTCAGTAGATCATCCATATCCAGACTAGAAAGCCATGATGGATCAGTGGGCGCCGCAGTATCTTGATTCATTTGGCGGTCCCAAGCCATCCAGTCAATGTTATCTCCTGCATCCAACACACCAGTAATTGAGGAGTATGCATTTCTATCGTCATCATCGACTTCAGTGGCTGGTATAGTGACGTCAGCTAGAAGATCGGGGGTTGTGGGATAAACAGTTGCCTCTGCGCTGTGTATAGACGGGGGTAATTCGACCAGAGGCGCTAGACCCGAACGTTTTACACGAGCAAGCATGACTCGTAGGAAGTTAGATGCTCGCCTTGCATTTCTAGAGCGATAGCCTGGAGATCTGAGCATAACATTTAGTAGCTCTAGTGCTTGCACGAGCTCTTGACATATACCATTCCTCTCCTGAGCCTGCGCTTCTACGGATCGCTCCATCTCAAGTGATGTGTTGCACCAACGATTCAGTTCTAGAGATATGATCATAGCTGCGAGTAGGAAGTCATATGTCGTTAGTGATGAAAGATACCATCTTACATCGTAAAGCTGCCCTCCTTTCTGACAAGCTGCCCAAAGAGTTCGTTGATGTCTTAGTATCTCCATGGCAGAATCTAGGCACACTTTCCGGGATATGGCAGCTTGTGAGCCGGTTTCATCATTGGACTCGGTCAAGAACCTGCGATGTAAGACGATCTTTGTCTTTAGGTAGAGTAGACGTAGATTGTACCGACACATCAAAACTCCGGGCGCAATGCTCAGACTTTCATTCAAGGCTTTCACTTGGAGGGGTGGTGGGAGATCGTCGATTGCAGCGTCCACTTCTCGGTCCATTTCCATAGTTTTGGACCACGCTGGCGTTTCGATGTAATGCGATGCATCGAAGGCCGCCGCAAAGACCTGACAGAGCCTACATTTCGCGATTCCATAGGATCCAGGGGTCAATTCAGCACGAGGCCTCGCTGGCGGCAATTCTGTCATATCAATCGTTAAGTCTGAATCGTAGAGATTGGTCGGTAACTTGGTGTCACTGAAGACTGAGCGCACCATGCTGGGCAAACCGACAGCAAACGACACCAAGACATCCATCTGATATATGACTAGCCATACCCGTCGACGCATTTCAGCTCGGAATGGGCTGATGTTGTAATGACTTGCATCTCGGTGGTAGCCCATCTTGAGGGCTATGCGAACTAGTACACCTGCCATCAGCCACATCTGTAGATGGGCCTCATCACTGCGAAGGAATTGCGATTCTCCATATAATGCGAGACATTCTAAGGTGTACGGGTGCCCTCGTGCAATATCTGCTAGATTCATAGCAGATGATGCTGCTTCCTGAAAGAAGGCTGCTCTGTGATTTGCAAGACTTTCAGCCTTCCGTTCCCAGATTTCCCCGCGATGTATCAGCAAGACAGAGACGCTCATAATAGAGAACAAAAGGCCTAGCCACATAACAGGTGCTCTCTCAGGAGACACCCAGAATTGCAAATATTCCTTCTGAAACGTCGGAGCGTGAAGAGCGTATAAGAACGGGTCTGAAGAATTGAACCAGAGAGCAACCAAACGGTCGGCTTCGTCTTTTGGCGGGATCATGTCGATAAGCTGCTCCTTTGTGTATATCTTGGCGGTACCGAACGATATTTGACCTCCACCGTTTGTTCGAGGATCAGCATCATAAGGCATGTCCTCAGGCACGTCTTCTTCATCCTCGAAAAAGGTTCTCACTTCCTTGATTTCGTCCAGGATGGCAGACCAGTGAGAGCCCGAGACGTAACTTGTTTTCTCTGCGCTGACCTTCAATTTGCCAAAAGCAGAAAGTGTCGAGCGATGATACTCCTCCGAACCAGAGCTATCACCGGGGCTTCCACGAGTCCCATGTGAAGAGGAGGAAACGTTGCCGTTCCCAGATTCAATACCGTCTTCAGCTTGTTTCGCATTCATGAGATCTACGACTAGGTTTTCGAGATGTCTTATTCGTCCCTTCATATTTTGCGCCTGCTTTATCTTTTGTGGGGGTGGCGGATAGACGCAAGAATCTTCCTTAGACCTCTTCAGGCACTGGTCGCAGAATGGTTGAAGGCGGTTACATTTTAGCTTTCCCTGCCGACAAGGCATGCAGCTCAATTGTGGTCTGGCTCTCTTGATACCGGTCTTGTTGATTCCGTTCATGGATGAACCATTCGAGGTGCCTGTCTCGCTCAGACCTGGTGACATGTTGATATAGCTAGCAGTCAAGAGACCTTCACTGAACAGCTTGAGATATATATGTTCATCAGGGTATTAAGCGATGGATGTCTACATTGGAGTGAGCAAAGTCACTCATGCTAATGCGACAACGAAGGCGAAGGCTGACTGGTCAAATAGTAGCCTAAGGCTGCAAACATTAACTCCCCCTTGTCTAATCCATGCCTAAACGCCGATTTAAACTCCACATATAGCAATGGCCCCACTCAACCAACATGTGTAACAGGTTCATTCCAACTTGCAAAGAAGAGCAACAACATTGTGGATTGTGGAGGCCGTTCCCATGTCCTTAACCCTTCCTACACAGTTCTCGCGTTCGGCGAGGCTTGCTCCCCGCTACTACCACGACGTAAGACCCCGGACGCGTCTCACGATATCGGCATTCCCCGCGAGATGTCTGCAAACGTCGACTGATCAAGAACGAAGCATAACTAGATTTGCGTTCGCGTTTGAGTAGGCCGTAAACTAGACCTGCAGTATACATATGCTAATAGATTTACTTGGCAGTATCGACGGTGTTTTAGTCCGCAGTTCCGATGCTTTACCGCGTGCCCATAAAGCCCTCTCGCACCTACAGAGCCATCATGTCCCATTCATACTTCTTACCAACGGTGGTGGTAAACATGAGACCCAAAGAGTTCATGATCTAAGCGAGAAGCTGGGCGTATCACTGGACGTTGAGATGTTTGTGCAGAGTCACACTCCGTTCGCTAATTTCAGCCCGGAAGAGAAAGAAGATAAAACAGTGCTCGTGGTTGGCGGAGACGGGGATAATTGTCGACATGTTGCGCATAGATACGGTTTTAAGAACGTCATAATGCCCTGCGACATTTTTGCGGCCGATCCAACAGTAATGCCATTCTCATCCGCCCAACTCTCTGTCCACAAGCGACATGCACAGCCTCTCCTGGATCCTTTACCACCAATTAGTACAATACTTGTGTTCAATGATCCTCGGGACTGGGCACTTGATCTTCAATTAATCACAGATTTGCTGCTATCAAAAGGCGGACAACTCGGAACGCTATCAACACTAAATAATAACACAGATCTACCAAACCGCGGATACCAGCAAGATGGACAGCCACAGCTATGGTTTTCAAACCCAGACTTGCTCTGGGCAGCGAAACATCCGCTTCCGCGGTTCGGTCAAGGTGGCTTTCGAGAAGCATTAGAAGGTGTATGGGCCGCGATCACCGGTGGACCGCAGAATGGTGTATCACTCCAAAAGAGAGTGATTGGAAAGCCCTATCGATTCACCTATGAATTTGCTGAAAAGAAGCTACTGTCGCATAGCCGTGGCATGAAGAGGTCCACCTTGCTCGGCACGAAGAGCGAGGATGATGCAATATCATCGAACGAGGATTCAGATTCGATTAAAACGCTTGACCGTGTTTACATGGTGGGAGATAATCCCGAGAGCGATATTAAAGGTGGGAATGAATACCGTAGCCCTATGGGTGTCAAGTGGCGGACGGCTCTTGTAGAAACTGGTGTATACGTTGCAGGATCGGAGCCGAAATATAAGCCAAGTGTAATTGTAGGCGATGTCTGGGACGCGGTTCAATGGGCGTTAGAGGAGGAAAGAAAAGGAGGCGGCTGGCAGCAATAGAATCTCACTCATCCCCAAGTGTACTTTCGGCGCGACAGAGCCCCTAGTGAACACTGGACATCTAACGTGCTTCAATTAGTACAGTCCTAGATTAGAAGTATCATAAACCTCGATAATATTGGTAAGATTTTGGAGACATTCTTAGCTATTATGCTAATCCTAGTTAGGCAAGCAGCTGCCATTTACTCTCACGTCAGCCTAAGCATAGCATAACTCAGTACGAGTCATTCGTATCTACAGAGATCTGTATGCTCTAGATGTCACTGTACACTGAGTTGATGCTTTCCTGCTCAACAAAGAAATCTGCCGGTCCTAGAACATAAGACATGGGCACTGCCTGAGATTCATGATCGAACGACCCCGCCATTACTCGACTATTCGTAGACAACTTGAATATGCCACCCACCCAGCGCACCGACGTCCTGATCGTAGGCTCTGGCTCTGCAGGGATATGTGCTGCTCTATGGCTTACCATATGCAATATTCCCTTCCGTATTCTGGACAAGCGGCCTGTCCAAATGGCCATCGGCCAGGCCGACGGCGTGCAATGCCGTACCGTCGAAGTCTTTGAATCGTTCGGTGTCGCGGAAGATCTTCTCCGGGAGGCTTTCCATATTCTTGAAGTTAGCTTCTGGTCCATGGTTGGCGAAGGTATCAGTAGGACAGGAAGAATCCCGGATACCAAAAAGGGACTTAGTCATATGCCACATGTTATCCTTAATCAGGCGCAATTCAATGGTATTTTACTGGATAAGATGAGGCAAGTTGGGGCTAAGGAGGTTGAGTATGGCTGGGAGGTCAAAGGGGTGACGATTGATCAAGAGAGAGCCGGGGACTATGGTGATGATGTGTTTCCTGTGCAAGTTTTTGCTGAGAAGGAGGGTCAAGAGCATGTAATCGAGGCGAAGTACGTCTTGGTCAGTATCTCCTTTCCCATTCTCCACTCGTACGCTGCTCGTGTCTTCTCTATATCCTTCCATTGCAATATCCCCCATCTTCCCACCCAACAGCTGCTGACTTAGCCAGGGCTGCGACGGCGCACACAGCACCATCCGCCGCTCTCTTGGCCACAAAATGCTCGGCGACTCTTCCGATACCGTCTGGGGCGTCATGGATATCTATCCACAAACCTCCTTCCCCGACATTCGCAAGAAATCTACCATCCACTCCACCTTCGGCAATATCGTCATCATCCCACGCGAAGGCGGCTCCCTGGTCCGTCTCTACATCGAGCTTCCCGCCGGCACTGATGCTAAGACTGTCCAACTCTCCGACCTCCATGCCACCGCAAAGGCCATCTTCATGCAGTATCCCCTCGAGATCGCCGAGACGCTGTGGTGGTCCGCATACACGATTGGGCAACGTCTCGTGGACCGGTTCTCGGCCTTTGAGAGAGTCTATCTGACCGGCGATGCGTGCCACACGCATAGCCCGAAGGCTGGGCAAGGAATGAATGTATCCTTACAGGATGGATATAATATCGGGTGGAAGCTGGCCCACGTGCTTTCCGGCCGCTCTCCTCCCTCACTTCTCCGCACATATGATGTCGAGAGGCAGAAGGTTGCCGCGGATCTGATCGAGTTTGATAGATACTTCACGAAACTGTTTAGTCTGAAGCATACGGGTGTGGGCGGCGACGATGCGAAAATTGCGGCAGAGTTTAGTCAGGGGTTTGAGAAGAGCGGGCGGTTTACAGCGGGGCTGACTAGTCGGTATGAGGAGTCTATGATTACAGGGATGACGGCAAGTATACAGGAGCTGGCGAGCGGATTACCGGTGGGAATGCGGTTTCCGAGTGCGCAGGTTGTGCGATTTTGTGATGCGCGAGCGATGCAATTGGTGAGGGCGTTCAAAGCGGACGGGAGGTGGCGAGTCGTTGTGTTCGCGGGTGACATAACGGAATCTGGAAACGCCGAGAGACTGAGCAAGGTAGGTAAACACGTTCAACTGTGATGTGCGCGGTAGGCACTGATAGTTTGGTAGTTCGCCGATTTCCTATCGTCGCCAACAGGCCCAGTACGCAGCTTCACCCGCGAGTCAGAAGATATCGACAGCTTCATCGAACCGATCCTCGTGCTTCGTGGTGACCGGACGAAAATCGAACAGGAACACATACCGGATTTCTTCTGGCCTGCGACAGGAAAATGGCGCGTTCGCGGTTTGTTCACACCAACCTCTCATGCGAAGCGTGTCACTGACCAAATAGACCTCCATAAAACATATATTGACGACGATCATTACAATTCTGGGCACGGATATGCGTATGAAGCATATGGTATTGCTACAAATACAAACGTTGTTGCAATTGTCCGGCCTGACCAGCGTGAGTTATTCACGTGCCGCGACTTTCGTACATTTAACTCACCTATGTTGCAGATATCGCACTCGTTGTACCCACGGATGACCACAAGGCAATATATGACCTCTTTGCAGGTTTTTGCATTAGAACTTGAATTGAAGAGGTGTCGCATTCCAAGGATCACGTCTGGTGAATCTTGATTACGAGCATGACAGGGCGTCAAGTGAATTTCTCGAAGTTTAGCTAGACTTCTATCGCCCATGGTATTCAAATTAGCGTCATGCAAACATAATTTAGAGAGACTCAAGACTCCCGACCTCGAGAAGTCGATGATGTAACCGAGATTGGCATCCAGTCAAAACATGTTCACCCGCTGTACTGACTCTCGTAAGAGCCTGGCTTGGAAGCGACTCTAAGCCATGCGGAAGACAACAGTGTTATGACTTTAACACATGGTCTTCCGATGTTCTCAATAGGCAAATCCTGTTGAGTTCGAACGGATAAATGTTGCGTTATGTCCAACAACGCTAGAGGTCTGACCCTTTTGTTGGACCTCCTTGGTATGTACAGCTACGTCATACAATAAGACAGTGATTTTCGTACATCTGTAGTAAACTCAAACTCCAAACTCCTCGCTAGATGTCATGCCTGGTCAAAAATTCTAGACTATCGTTGTCGAGATGGTCAGAATTTGACGACAATCTCGCTATATGGGACGCCTCGCAGCACTTTTTTCCCATCTTCAACCTTGTATAGCTCAGGCTCGAAGTCTTGAATGGTGGCCCATTCTCGTAAAAGACGACGCCAGTAGCATGAAATCTGGTATCTATCAGCCTGGTTGACCTATTTGCAGTAGTTTAAGCTCTTACCGCTGCTGGAGTGAGATATCTCCCACCAAACCTCTCGAAGCTTCGTGTTGCTATGGCCTCAGCCTCTAAGGGATTATCGATTAGGTGTGTTATGTCCCGATCGAGTGTCGACCAGTTTTCTTCAACTCGAACATAATTCTGGTTCTTGCCAGAAGCTATCAGTAGATGTGTATGGAACTCTTGCCAGGTCAAAGGATGTGCGACCACGACAGATTTGCAAGCTTGTAAAAATTTCAATCGTCCCGAATACGAAGTTCCCTCGGTGTGGATTGCGAATTTGTACTTGCACATATCCTCGATTGTAAGACGTTTGGACGAATCGTAGTCAGGGTCGTCGCTGGCGACGTCCACATCCTCGATATCACTCCATTCCTTGCCCGCAGCTATGTCTCTCAAAGCGTATCGAATGCCACTCATTCGGAGATTTCCTCGCCATACCGCTTTGTCCATCTTGTTAATGAAAGGAGCGTCCACTTCGGCATCGAACAACCATTGGCGCATACGCTGGTAGCTCGGAACTCGGGTAAGAATCCAAGACCAATATCCGAAGTCAGGTATCAACCAGACGTCTTTGTACTCCTCCGTCTCCTGCCGGGTGAGTGCAAACATCACCGCGTCATTCTTGCTTCGCAGTGGGAGATCGTCAAGCGATACAGCGAATTCAGCGTTCGGAACACTCTTGGGCGGCGCGGACATAACAGCGCGTTGTATCAAGGACAATGTAGCAATTGCGCGCTCCTTGAATCCATAAATATAGCAGCCTTCTGGATCCCACTTGTCTACGACGAAAACCTGGATATGGGTTAGTTGATAGTGGCGTATGAGCATGCTGTACAGCGCACCTCATTATCGTATACGAGTATTCGTAACATGCATCTGCCTTCATTTATCGCAATGTCTTCCAGTCGTATTCGACTGCCGTTCCTTCTCCTCACCGCAGCCGTTATGGGGTCATACAGTTCTGGAAAGGCCGCATCGCATTGCTCGGAGGAGAACGAGTGATCGTTCGCGTGTATTTTCGAGTCAAAGTCTAACGTCGGAGGAGGAGAGTCGGAAGACCCGTGGGGAGCCACATTTACGGAAGTAAGATCGCGCGGAGAGTGGAATGACCATAGAGCAAGAGCAAAGATGGTGATGAGGATGCAAGCTACCATCGGCTTGCCCGTGAAACGTACGTGAGCCATGGCGAGGAAGACATGAAGCTGTACATCGGCCAGCCAAGTGAGTAGATTCTTTCAAGAAAGTGATATCCCCCCTCGGAGGGGGGAAGCGCAAACGAGGCTGAGAGGGATTTGCCAAGACGAGCGCAGATGCTCTATAATCTCTCAGGATTTGAGTATGTGGCACCTATGCGTCGCTCTATTCCTGATGTAGCCAGCCGGGCACCTGAAACAAGTAGTTGATTGGTTAGCCCGCTTAGATCAGCTAGCTCTGCTCATCTCGATCGACGTAGATGTTTGCATGTCTAGTGTATTGGTAGTCTGTAAGAGTCGGCGCAGTGCTATACAAAGAATGTGGTCGTTGCAACTACCAGTAGACGCTACAGTGCTTCATTGCTGTCTCCATGATGGACCTTTGACTACCAGATGTACTCTACATTAGCGTGAAACCAGCTGCGCCGTAAATATAAACACGTACATACTCGCGCGCGCCAATGTCTTGGGCTAACGGCATCCGTTATGCTTCGTCTATTGATTGGAAAGAAACATGTAAGCGCATACAGTGCGGCACATCACTGCTCTACACAATTGCTGATGGCTTGTGCCATGCATCTAGCAGAAGATCCCTGTCGTACAAAGCCGCAGTAAACCCCCTGACACTCTTTCTCCAGGAGATAACCCTTGTGAGATGGTTCCGTTTTTCTTGCTACTTTTGTGTACATTGATCTTTGTTAGTTCAGGATCTTCCTCGGATCCATATTGGTTTCTTGGAGGAACGAACAGCTGGTGTAGCTACAATGGCGCAGAATTTTGGGCAGCTGAAACATACGAGCATGGAGGACTCTGTGCCTACATGTTTGAGATAAACCGCACATATGCGTGTCCTGCTCCAGACACGTGAGTACATAGTATCCACACGGGTATGTTTTGCTGACAAGTTTTTGCAGGGCGTGCTGGACATTGTCAAAGACTGGCGATCTTGATACCGGGCCAAATGATGTTGCTTCTTCAGACGTGCTATGCAACACAATAGGAAGGGAGGGTAGAGATGTGTGGTGGTTTTGCGATGCCACCCATGAGAACTGTAATCCTGCTGTCGGCCACCCGGACTGCATAAGTCAGTTCTCGAATCCACTCAAAGACCTATCGGACGATGAGGCAGGTTCTGTGGCAAGAACCTTAGCAGCATCTGCTCTCAGGACTCTACGCGGAGAAAACCCTACCATTACAGTTTCGACCCAAGCTTCAGAGGGTCCTACGACGATGCCGACAGCAAAGTCAGAGACATGGATGATCACATCTGTCGTGTCCAGTTCGTCTGGAGTTGGAGCCTTTCCGACAACTACCAGTCCTGGCCCAGGTGGGCCTGTCAACAATACCTCAACCCAGGCTGATAGTGAAAACCAAGATGGACTAAGCACCGGCGCTCTTGTTGGGATAGTAGTCGGTGCAGCTTCAGGGGGTGCTTTACTCGTGGTCCTTGTTTTGATATACCGACGAGGCAAGAGACGGCATTCTGCGGAGCTGAACGCTAAGACCCCCTACAAGAAGAAGGAAGACATCTGGGACGGTTATTATCAGGATGCTCCACATTACCAGCGGAATCCAATGCCAGTTGAGATTGAAGATGGACATTTGGCTGAGTTACCCTCTCATTATCGAAGGCCAGTAGAGCTGCCAGGGGACACTACACTAAAATAAGCAGCCTATAGATTTGTACGTGTTGGTGGAAAATATGATTTCGATGTAAAATAATGGCTTTCGCTGAATCCAATCTTGCCCTGAAGTAAAGGCTCAATACATCTTCAAGGCGCTCTAGTCTTGCTGTTTGGATCTGATTTTCCATATGCTGATGAGAGTGGAGTGCATTTTGAATCGTTAGATATGTGGCTTGAGGCTTTGAAGTCTGTTTGATGGAGATTCAGAACCTTGAAAGTTTAAATTAAGTACAAGGTTGTTGCGGCCAAAATCGTAGCGCCAAGATTCCAGCTTAGGTAAACGTAGTGGCAGTGGTGGCGGTGCGTTCGTGGCACATCACCGTCTTAGCTCCAACTCGCGTTCGTTCGCTGAGAGCTCCATCATCAACTTTGGCATCTTATCAGGACCCCAAAGTCCGTCTCGCCTCTGAATCTTTGTCTCTACCTTTCAAATCCACAACTGCTCCCTGATAAGTCGAGGGTCTTCTGATATCACCTCTTTAGCGCATCATTGCCCGAACCTGCGATGTCGTCCGGCGAGGTTCTCAGGGCGGAGAAAGACTTCTCAAAGGATACCGACAAGCTCATCCCCGAGGCCGAAGCTCTTGCAAAGGTACGATCGAGTCACTAAGTTCGCGTGTGTGGACTAATGTATTCCAGACTAATGTGCAGGGCGCTATCGAGAAGCTTCTCGTGCTTGAGAAACAAACCCGACAGGTTTGGAAACTCATTTGGTTCGCATTGCTTGTACTCATATTGCATTAGGCATCTGATCTAGCTTCAACGTCCCGAATATTGATCACAATAGTCACAATATGTAAAGAATCCGGCGACTGGAGCTTGCTCAACGAGCAAGTCTTGCTCTTATCGAAGAAACATGGCCAGCTCAAGCAAGCAACAACGAAGATGGTACAGGTCGTCATGAATCTTTTGAAAGATACGCCCAATATCGATACAAAGCTTAGCGTCATCGAAACTCTGCGGACAGTGACTGAAGGCAAAGTTAGTCCAGTCTTACAGATCACAAAACGTTCGTGGTTAACGCTTTCAGATCTTTGTCGAAGTCGAACGTGCAAGGGTGACTCGTATCCTCTCGGACATCAAAAAGGAGCAAGGTGACATCGCCGCAGCGACGGACATTCTATGCGAGCTACAAGTTGAGACCTTTGGGTCAATGACGAGGAGAGAAAAGACCGAGTTCATCCTGCAGCAGGTTGCACTGTGCATAGAGAAGGGTGATTGGACTCAAGCCGGTATACTAAGCAGGAAGATCAGTACGAAATACTTTGCGCGAAAGCCAAAGAAGACCGAGGAGCAGCTGAAACAGGAGCAGAAAGAGCGGGAAGAGAAGGAAAAGGCCCGTAGCGTGGACGATCCACCAATCGAGCCTGAAGATGATGTTACTGATCTCAAACTCCAATACTACGAACAGCAGGTCATGCTTGCCAAACAAGAAGACAAGTATCTAGACGCTTGTAAGCACTATCGACAGGTTCTGGACACTGAGGCCGTCGAGGAGAATCCGGAGCAACTCCGTGCAGTAAGAGTAGCCGTGGTCATATGTTTGTTGTATCTAACATTCTTAGGTTCTTTCCCGTGTGATATATTTTATCATACTCGCACCGCACGACAATGAGCAGTCAGACCTGCTGCATCGCATTCACAAAGACACAAGAAATCAACTATTAGTGCCAGAAGACGCCGCACTTTTGAGACTGTTTACAGTCACTGAACTCATGCATTGGTCTGAGGTCGAAAAGCAATTTGGGCCCCGCCTTGTAGGTACCGACATCTTTGATGCAAAGGCAGGTCAATCAGACGAACCAAAGGCCTTGCAGAGGTGGAAAGACCTGAAGAAGCGTGTCACGGAGTACAATGTCCGTGTCGTTTCGACGTACTACACCCGTATACGCATGCCTCGTCTCACACAACTTCTGGATCTCACGGAAGACGAAACCGAGAAGTTTATCAGCGAGCTTGTTACTGCTAAGACCATCTACGCTAGAATCGATAGACCGGCGCAGATCGTGAATTTCGCGAAGACTAGAGACGCCGACGATGTATTGAACGAATGGAGTGGAAACATGAAGAGTCTTCTAGGTCTGCTGGAAAGGATTGACCACCTAATCACCAAGGAGGAAATGATGGCATCTATCCAGCCAACGAAAGTTGAGAAAGGAAGGACCAAGAAGACAGCCAAAGCAAAGTAATGGACGCCTAGAGATGCTGGCTACTGAGCATGGATATATAGAGCAAATGATAACCCAATCAACAGCATGCCCCGCTATAAAAGAGGCTGCGAGAGCATATGGTATCCCTTAGAACAAGGTTTAATGCTATGTCATAATCGCTGGCGCCTAAAGCGACCATCTAAATTCACATCTATCGTAACCGTTCGATCGATCAAAACGGAACGTCCATGTCTTCGGCATTCTCTTCTGCATTGTTCGTACCACCTCTACCCAATACTTCCTTAATGAACCCTATCAACGCACCGACATATTGCTTCTGACTACTAGGCAAAAAGTGGCCACCCGGGTGATACACAACTCTGTCCTTACTGTCCTCAAACTGCTCCATCAATTTCAAACTCCTTTTCTCCTCCACTACCGTGTCCATAGTCCCAATGAAATGTAACGTCGGCGTGCGTATTTTCGGCTCGTAAAATGCACTATATAATGGATTCTCCGTCGCTTTGAAGCCGGAATATATCGCCGCAAACTTCATCGGCGGATGCACCACCTCCTCCTCTCGCAACAGACTTGAAGGATATCGCATCCCGCCCTGTTTCTCCCAAGCCTGAAATGCATCTCGCCGCCCCTCGTCCAGCAAGCTTGCTACAAACGCCGCAGCACACCCCCCTTGGCTAAACCCAATCACCCCATCAAACGGACCTTCCTCCTTCAGTACCTGTGCCACGCGCTCGAAGCCCGCCTCTAGGCCATCATACACCGCATTTGCTGGATCCTCTCCTTTGCGCCTCCACCACCCCCAAGCGTCCGGGGCCTCGGTATCGTCGGAGCTTTCCTTTGTGCTAGATGCATCGAATGTGAGCTCGGAAAGGGGTAGACGATGGGGGCCAGTTGGGTAGGAGAGGGAGACACCAGCGGGGAAGGCTTTCTGGAGGTTCTTTTCGAGAGCGCGGGTCTTTGCACGGAAAAGTGGGCCGGACTGGGTGAAGCCATGGAGCATGAGGATCTTGAGGGGCTTTGTTGGAGGCTTGGCCATGTTGAAATTGGGAAGGAGGGACGTCAGTATTACAGGGAGATCGAGAGTGAGTATGTTTGTTTGTGCATGTTCATGAGCATACGTACGCCAAGATTTGCGGGAAGGGCCCGCACCTCCGGTAGGGCTGAAGCTTCAACACCAAAGAAAAATATCCCAGCGCGTCTCCGAAGCTTGCTCAGATACCAATCTGCGTCGCGCCAGGACTGCGCATTCGTCCACCTCTCAGTATGCTCAGTGAGTTACTGGTAGCATCGATCGCTGCCCCAATTAAAGCTCCAAACACTTCTGTTCCCAAAGATGCCGGCATATTCATACACGAATTCTTGCCGTTGCCCGCGCAGCGCCATATCTTAAAGAAAAGTGCAACACCACCGAACTGCCTCGCGATCAGCGCGACACATATCTTTGCCGCTCAGGCTGAAAAGGCTGTTGTACATGTTTATAATCGAGAAAAGGGGAGTCAAGAGGCTATCATACCGTTCCAAGAAAGGATACATGCAATTGCGCTCGCGGTCGATGATACCGTTCTAGCATTGGGCACGCAGACTGGACGATTGCTGCTTTGGGAGGTATGAAAGGACTCAAATGCGCACAATGAGACTTCACTAATGTCGTATAGATCTGTACAGGGCGTCTTGTTGTTGCTCCTGTATCCCACCTCCAGGAGATCACCGCCGTCGTCGTCGACCGGTCATCGAACTTTCTCCTCACAGGCTCTGCAGACTCAAGCGTCAACGTCTGGTCCCTCCCTCACCTGCTCTCTTTTTCCTCCGGCACCGAGTGCAAATCCCCCCTCCGCTCTCTATCCTCACATCGTGGCGCAATAACATCTCTTGCTATTGGCCACTCCTCGACCTCCGCCAATATCGCCGTCTCCACGTCGGCTGACAATACAGCCATAATATGGGATTACCAAACCGGCACCCTTCTCCGCACATACCTTCTCGGCGACACGCCCCTCGCCACAGTCCTCGACCCTGCTGACCGCGCCTTCTACACCTCCTACGCCGACGGCTCCGTACAACTCATCGACTTCTTCGACCCCCCGTCTCCCACAGATGCCCTCCGCTCCACCACTCCCAACACCCCATCCTCCGTCCTCGAGCCCCCCAAATCCTCCCGCTGGCACCTCACCGCCGAAACCCTCTCCCTTGGCTCCGCCCAATGCTTGACTTTGTCCTGGGACGGCACAACCCTGCTCTCAGGCCACGCAAGCGGCAAAATCGCCACCTGGGACGTCGCGCGCGGGCGCTGGGCAAGCACCCTGGCAACACTGCCCGGCGCAGTAACAAACATCTCCATGCTCGCACCAACAGGCTTCCCCGCAGGGTCCTCACAGGCCGAAGGCCCCAAGACCAGAATATCAAACGTCGTCAAGCCGCGCCTCGACATCGCCCTCGACACACCCGGGCCCGTACCTGCCTCATACACCCTCACCATATCCTTCCCCACTACCCTCCTAACGCCCAAAATCTCCCTCTCAATACCCGCCACGGACCCCCCTAAGAACGCCTTCGAAGAAGCCCTCTCACACACAACATTCCCAGACTCCCTCCTCGCATCCAGCCTCGCCGAGATACACGCCTGGTCCACATCTGCGCCCTCGCACCTCAACAATAATGTATCGTCATCGAGTGATTTCCTGGGTCTGGACAACGACGACACGGCGCCCGCGGTGCCGGTGCTCAGCGAGGCGGAGCGCGTGGTGGATTTGGAGGCGCGGCTTGCGGCGCTGCAGCGCGTGCAGAAGGTTACGTTTGCGCAGCTGGCTGAGCTGAGACGGGAGAGGGATACGTGGGGCCCGGGTAAGGATCGCGCTGATGCGCGGACTGCGGGGCAGAAGGGTCAGGGGAAGAAGGGGGATGAGATGGATGTGGATATGGATGTGGATGGGCCAGTAGCAGTCGAGACGGAAGGAACTGAGGAGATGAATGGGAGGCGGAAAGGTGGTGCACGGCAAGCGAAGAATGGGCGATTGAGTCGGTGACGAGGGAATATATTGAATGAATACAAGTGCTTCCCCGTGGGGAGAAAAACGCAGGGTAGTGCAGATTGCCGTGATGAATCTACTACCCCTTTTGCACCAAGACCAGCGCGTAGTGCGCAAGACCATACACCTCATATACAAACAAGCCCCGTGTGACCCAACGAGTAGTACAGCCGTGTCCTCTCATCGCTTCCTCTTCTGCCCTCCCTTGGCACTCTTTTTCCGATCATCATCGTCCTCGGGCACGCGCTCCTTATCCGCCTTGGCCGCCTTCCTCTCCATATCGTCCCAATCCTCACCTTCTTCCTCATCGCTCATGTCACTCGCATCACTGGCCTCAGCAGAGGCATTCTCGTCAAAGTCGCTCTCATCGTCGCTTTCGCTGACACTAGCTAGATCACTCTCGTCCATCTCAAAGTCACTCTCTTGCTCTTCTGACTCGTCGCCCTCATCATCGCTCTCAGCCTGCAGAAACGACCAGCCGCCGTCTTCAAAGAAAGCGTGTGGGTCCGATGTGACGGTCTTCATGATGGGCGCCCAGTTGAGGTTGAGCGGGCCCTCGGAGAAGGGGATTTCGCAGCTATCAAGCCAGTCCTTGACAGCGTCGAGAGATTCAACGGGGATCGTGTTGATGTGCGCGGGCGGGCGATTGAAGTCGCGGAAGATTAGTACCATGTCGAAGTTCTTGAGGCCGAACTGAACGCGCTCAAGATGGACGACTTCAATCTCGGACAGTGTGAGAACTAAGAATGGGGGTTCGGTGAGCTGCACTAAGCAGTCTGTGGTGGGCTGAATCAAGACGGACGAGCGGGCTGGTACACCATTGTAACCAAGCTCACGGAAGGGCACGTCTACGCTGACATTCTCACTCCGTCCAGCATCGGCGATCTTCTCCGCGAAGCTCTTAAATTGCTTGTCGAGCTCCGCGCGTCGCCGACGCTCTTCTTGTTCAGCCTCAAATTCCTCGTCATCGCCATAGCGGTGTTTACGACGACGATTACCCGTCTCGTCGAAAGCCATATCGGTTGCCTCGCGATAGAATTGGACGTCCTTCGTCTTCTTCTTGCCGACCATGATAGGATTCTTCAGGTGGACGTGAATGATGACTATGAGTTCGTGTTGGCAGGGTTGGAAGAAAAGATGCTTGATGTTGCCAAATAGGATGTCGACTTTTGGACCACCGCCCATGCCATGGTGATATCGAAGACCGTTTTGCTGGATTTCTAGTAGACCAGGCATACGTTTTCCTTCGAGTTGCGGCCGCAGATAGACCAGATCCAGGTTGTATGGTTTTCGGTCTGTTTTGGTCAATATGTTTTCTCGATCATGGCTCGTTCAAACTCACTTTTGAGCACAATCAACTTGTCTTGCTCCACGACATCCTCCATCTGCTTCTTTTCGTTCTCTCTACGAACAATATCTCTTTTCAGTTCCGTGATCTGCCTCGTGATATCATCGATACGTTCAATATCGCGTGATCTGAAGGTCAAGCTTCGCACGAAATGAGCTGTCGGGTCTTCGAAAGGCTGATCGTCTTTCCTGCCGACACCTTGCCCGGGAGACAAGAAGTTGATACGAAGGGACGTAAAATCACCTTCAGGCGAATGCGTTGCGTTCTTGATAGTGTTGATATGGAAGGGCACCGGCCGGCCCATGATCGGAAGGATTACCGTAGAATTCTTCGTGTCGACGACGATCACTAGGTCTTTGACTCTCGATGGAAATTGGTTGTGCTGCTTGTACGATTCGAAACGCTTGAACTTCTTTTCTTCCGTGCCGTTCAAGGCGCCAGTCCCTTTACCATAGACCTCGAGACCTTCTTTCTGCTTCTTTTGGTGCAACTCTTTCTGATGTTCTCGTCGAGCGGCTTCCTTCTCGGCGTCCTGATTAGTGGTGCGCTCCGCACGCAGCCTAGTCTTTTGTATGTTCTGTCGAGCGACAGCGCCGACTTTGTTGTCTTTTTTGGCTTTCTTGGGTTTTTCCTCCTCTTCACTTTCGTTGAAAAAGTACGAGATCTCCTCTACCTCCGCTACTGCGTCTTTGGTGAACACAGCAGTTGCATCCTTAGTGACGCGGACAGTATCAGTAAGGACGAGTGAGTAAGAACTCTTGCCCTTGCCATCCGGATTTGGTATGTTGTCGAAGCTCGTGGTAACAAGCAGAGTCATACCGTCCTTCAACGTACGGCCATTTTTCCCACTCAAGAGAAGCGTGTTGTCCTTGCCCTCGATCCCAATACCATAACCCACATTTTTGGGAAAGTGTTTTTCTAGATCTGGTTTCTTTGCGCGCAAGAGGCCGATTGCCTTGTTGTAAACCTCTTTGGTGGGGACATTGTCCCGTAGCGCCTTTATGACTTCCTGATGGATGGAGTAGAGAAGCCTATAATTCGTCTCCTGTGATTTGGAAGGGTCCACCATATACGTTCTTGCGACCTGGGAGCCGTAACTCGAATAGCGAAGTCCTAGAGCGAGTATAACGACGCCAGCTTTGATCGGATTGGAATCAGGCTCAGAGGCAAACTTCACGTCGAATTTGTCGCCACTTTGAATCGTTGGAGGAAGACCCCAATCGAGATTCGCGGAATCGAAGTTCGCAGACATCTTTGTTTCCTTCTTAAGCTTATTGAAAAATGCAGTGTCGTCAATTTTTCCTGCGACTTTGTCCGCAAGAGCCTTGTGAGTTACTCTCTTTCCATCATCCAGAATAGTCGACATCTCATCCACGAAGAAATTTTGCATCAGTCCAGATGATGCTCGCGCAGCATCACGCATCGTACGCTGCCGGTGAGTCAGCTTCTGAGATCTGTAGTTGCAGGAGGTAGCATACCAGTTCTTCTCCATCTTTCACAGACAGGGCTGCTATAGAGATGGTCGTTGCGATGTCCACCTCCTCCAATCCTTTCGAGACGGCCTCGTATGATTTCTTCCACTCGTCTGCGAACGGACCAACTTGGTTGTCTTTCGTCAAGATACCGACTTTCTTCTGTGCTACACGTCAGATCTATGCTCGTAAGGACGTGCGACCAGCCTTACTCCTGCTCCTTTGATAATATCCGTGATTTGCTGAAATTGCTTCGCATTCTCATCTGCGTCCTTGCCGCGAATATGTATCTCAAGATGTACTGCGCCACCTTTCAAAGGCTCTAGGTACGATGCTATTGAAGACTCTATATTAGCTCCACGTTCGGCATCATCGAATTTTCAATGTGTTATACTTACCCTTCTTCTTAGTAGTAACAATATGTACCACATCGGGGGTCAGGACCATCAGGGTCGCAGGGAACTCATAACCTAGCAGCCATAGCTACACCTCGCGTCAGTTGACTTTTGAGTTGAGCGCGAACGACACCATCTCACCTGAAAAGCGGCCGCTTTGTTGTAGTTATTCGGATCGCCGCTTGCCTTCCCAAGCAGCAAAATGATGGAGTTGACACCGTTGAAAGACGCGTCACGCTTGTCTCCCTTCCATTCCGTAAGGAAAGACGAGAGACGGTCATGGAATATGGTCTTGTCGATGGTGATCTCTTCCGCCATATTGGCAGCCTCTTGTGATAATTTTGAGGATGTGAGAGGCTTCCAAAATGGCGTTTGTAAGGGAGAAGAGAAGAAATAGATGGATGGGATAGGATGCGGATGAAAGCTGAAGCAGTTCCCCTCAAAATGTACGTCCGGGAGAAGACGCGGCGCGCTCGTGGTTCGCGTAAAACAGTCTGCCTCAGGTGTCAACCTTTAGCTTGATTCCCAGCCACACCGTGGACCAGGTCAACTGAGCCTCGAAACAGCATGCAGAGTTGGGATGGCATGTGTAAATTATTGATTATTGTTTTTCTTCTTCTCTTATCGAAAATTGTGAGAATGGCGTACATTTATGAAAATGGCCTGGAGCCAAATTTCTCCATAATGTAAGTCTTCCAATTAGTATGGAGACTCAGCGTGGAGACATCTAGACAACGACATTACACATCTCAGCTTATATGATTGAGAGAGAAAGATAGTATTTATCAGTGTTTATCAATTACATTATAATTCACGAATCCTCCCAAGATCTCATTCATCGACAAGACTTATTTATAATAACAAAACAGCACCAAGCACGATCGTCACCAGCCCACCAACCTGGTTCCTCCCTGCTGCACCCGTAAACATTGGTGGGCTTACACTCGGAGTCGGCGTTCCGCTTGGCTTCCACGTCGGGCTTCCACTGCCTCCCGTGGGCGCGGCAACGCCGCTGGTCGGACACTTGCCATCTGGGCCTGCTGGGTATGGACAAGGGATGGGTGTGACGACGACAGTGTGGATGGAGGTGATTTTTGTGGGAACAGCAGGTAAGCCTGGAGCTCCCGAGGGTCCTGTAGGGGCTGAACCAGGGCCAGTGATGGTAATAGTCTGTGGCACGGTAAGGGTTACGGTCGTAGCAGTTGTGGCACAACCGGTAGTGCAGACGGTGACAGTTGTGGTAAAGCCCGGTGGGATAGAGCCGTTCCCGGGGTTGTTATTTCCCGGAGTGTTGCTTCCTGGGGTGTTGCTTCCTGGGGTGTTGCTTCCTGGGGTGTTGCTTCCTGGGGTGTTGCTTCCTGGTTTGTTGTCTCCAGGGGTGTTAGTTGAAGGTCCTGGAGCAGGAGTTGGCTGGGCACAGTTGGGGCAAACGGTCGATGTGTAAGTCGTGGTCAGGGTAACAGTAGAAAACCCAGTTGGGCAGACGGTAACATAGGTAATTGTCGACGTCCATGATGTAACAACAGATGGAGGGGAATATTCGATAGATGATGGGATAGGCGTGATGGAGGGGTGATCATGACTGTCTGATGGAGAGGCGGCTTCGGCAGAGGTACCAGGGGTAGGAGCTTCACTGCTTGGCCTCTCGCTGGAGAATGGTGTCTCGCCTGCGGTTGGAGTCTCAGTTTTGCTGACAGAGCAGTCTTCGGTTGTAGAAACGTAGCCAGCGTCCTCGGTCGTGGTATCATCATAGCTGTCATCTTCACCAGTTGGGGATGGCGTCGGAGTGCCAGGATAATCACCGTACTCGTCTTCATCACTGCAAGGAGATGGCGTTGGGGTTCCGGGATAATCGCCGTACTCGTCTTCATCACTTGAAGGAGAAGGCGAAGGATATCCATAGTCATCATTCGACGGGGTGGGAGTAGGGGCCGAATGGCCGTAATCGTCTTCATCGCTTGAGGGAGAGGGTGAAGCATAACCATAATCATCGTTCGATGGAGCGGGAGTGGGAGCTGAATGGCCGTATTCCTCTTCCTCGGACGGCGAGTCATATCCGTCTTGGGTTGGTGGAGAACCAGGATATCCGTAGTCATCATTCGACGGAGCGGGAGTGGGAGTCGAATGGCCATAGTCATCATGAGAAGGCTCGCCGTGTCCGTACTCCTCAGACGGTGACTCATCATAGCCGTCTTGTGGGGGAGTCGAATGGCCATAGTCGTCATGAGCAGGTTCGCCATGTCCGTATTCCTCGGACGGTGAATCAGCATAGCCGTCTTGTGGGTGTGTTGAATGGCCATATTCGTCGCTAGGAGCCTCGCCATATTCGTCCTTCTCGGATGGCGATTTCTCATACCCATAGTCGTCCTTTGAAGGACTTGGCGTAGGAGACACATGGCTCAGATCGGGACGCCCATAATCGGCAGTGTCACTGTAGCTGACATCCCCGTTATCGCCATAGTCACCACGCGCATGGTGCGGATGCCCAATTCGGCCTGTAGCCTCGACGCTCGAAAGCAGCACGGCAACTAAGCCGGCAAATACAGTGGAGGAGCGCATGATTGAATTAAGTATTGATAAGTAGGAAATTAGAAAGAATGAGAGATTGCCAGACGGCAGGAAGCTCGTTAATGATAGTGATTGACTCGATCGTCAAACGAAAGGACGCAAACGAAAGTCTGCAAGACAGCACTCAGCGACCACAGAGGGGATGCGTGGACGCAGAGAAGGAAATGGAATAACGAGATGGTGTGGTAAGTAGAAGGATCATCGTCGAGGGGGGTCGCTGAGGTAGATATATTTTGACATTCTCAAGCCCGCCAGATGTCCGGGTTCTAGCGTGGGCAATCAATAGTATAGCCGTCGACGGTCAATGCATTCATCCATGGATGCAAACGTCGGGTTCGTGCAATCTGCAGAGCCAGTGGTAGAGGTATGCATCGCTGTAACCAGTCATGTTGCTTCAGAGGGTACGGCAGCCAAGGAGAAACGCCATAGGCACAGGTACAGGTCGACTAAAGCGGAACGGTGGATCCAACCGGATAAAGCAGCTGTCTAACTTTACATTGGCGATGCTAGCGAGCGGACGCGGCTGTCATGTAGGCGTTGTAGCTAAACCATTCGACGTGGAGAGCTTCGCCTTTCACCAACTGCTTTGGCTATTGTTCTTCTCTTCAAATTGGCATCTTCACCTCGCTTTCCAAGTCTACAAATCAGCTGTCCTTTCAATTGTAAAACCATTCACAGTGATTCTACAGAGCTTACTCGGTCGCGACTCTGCTAGCCGATTGGTATGGCGGAAAAAGATCGACAAGGACAATTTGGTACATAACTCCCTCGGAGCCTCACGATAGGCCCGTCTTAAACCCCTGATCAGCGGACATCACCGGCTGGACTGAAGATCCGTTTATGCGGGGTGTGGCGCTGATCTTGTGTGTTCCTGCAGAAGCGCGATGTTTAGGCTACTCCGCCTGTCCATTTGCGCCATCTTCTTTGCCTATCAACAAACAGGCAAAGCTAACGACTATGGGTAGCCATTAATAGGGGGCCGTACCAAGTACTGCAGTCTTCGACACAGACCCTGGTGGCCTGGCGTAGGTATAGTTTGGACTGTAAATGAGAGGAAAGTAACGGTACGCGTAAACTCTCCATCGGATTCTTCCTCCGGAGAAACCGATGGGAAGCCTATAAAGCATGCATGAGAATATGCAGGAAAGAAGGTTCGGGCGACGATGGAGATGAAACACGCGGTCTCGACTGTGGCTGCTCCGCCTAAACCCGTTGTGGCGCTATATAACGTTGGATGCTGAAGCTTAAACCTTCTAAGCTCCTGTCAGGCACAACATACGTGATACCGTAGCGTCTTCTCCGTTGTCTTTTCTTTTTGTCTTTCTTTCTTTTTTCTTTTATCACTAGCTGCTTCAACGAAACCAGCTAATAGTAGCAATCATCAGAGAGAATAGCAGAGGGAGAGTGTAGTTGGCACTGCCGTCCCTCTCGACAGGTCGGAGCGCCACGGTTGATCTCCATAGGTATCGTCCCTTGTGTTGTTGTAGTGGCTCGTGCAGATGTTACATTCTAAGAAATAGGGTAAGATGGTAACGAGTTGTGCATAACTCGTGGTAGACATGTGAATTCTCCTGCAAGACGGCTAGCCCCGAGCACTATAATGCCGAGGGCCTAAGGATGTATGTCACTGGCTGTAATGATGTGCACTCGCGATTCGGCTCGTCTTGCCTAGGTATTGATTACTTGCAATTTCATCTTCGTATTCCTCGGCCGATTTTTCGTCATCTCGTCAGCCTGTCAATCATATCGATGGCTTCGTGTGATTTGCGTACACTGCACAGTCTGTATACACCATGAAATCAGTCCCTGGGTCTCGCATGCCTGAGGAGAATGTCGCCAGCAATGGGCTTTTAGTCCCATGGTACATAGTCCCGAGTCGCTGGTCGTCGGTTGGGCCGGAACGGTTCTAGAAGACTACACGCCGCCACGTTGCGATGATCCGAGCCAAGAGATCCGAGGCTGGGTAAGCTGAATTGCGGCACAGCTGTGCCAGGGCAGCTCGGAGCTGAGATCTGGGATCTGACAATCAACATTCTAACCAATTACAACGACATCTAGACATGTCGCGGTCTGGCTTCGGTCGACTCCCCATCGAACTGAGCGCATATATTGCTGAGCTCCTGGACACGACTGATCTCTCCTCCTTCCGCTTCACATGCAGACAGGCAGATGTACAGACTTTCGATGTCTTCGCCCGCCGTTGCTTAACACAATGGCGAACCACACTCATGGGCTCCGATTTTGAGACCCTAGAACTAACCTCCCGGCACCGGAATCTAGCCAAGTATGTCAAAACGTTGATCCTCGAAGATGACGCCAATCGAAGCGAAGAAACGGATGTCTGGCCACGCGATGAAGCGGGCATGGTTCTATGCAACACGATCGGCGTGCCAGCTTTGAAGTGCATGCTTCAAGATGGCCGTCTGCGCCCAAGCGAGATTCATATCAAAGACTGTCGCCTTATTCACACTGTTCCGGGACCATATTACTGCGCCGCCATGACACGCGAGGTTCTAGAGAATCTGGATATAACTGTTGTCTCTTTGACTTTCGAACACGCGTTCCATCAAACCGTTGTTGCTACTATCGGTCTCGCGCAAGAACATCATATTGGCAGTGAACTGGAAATGTTGCATTCTGCAAGGCTACTCCTTGCGGACGGACTCGATCCATACTGGCCCACGCGTGTCCTCCATCGGGCACCAACGCTCAAACAGTTGGGGATTCGCTGCGGTGGCAACCAGCAGCCTCGAGCATTGATAAGCGATTATCTCATAGAGAAGGAGCCCCTCCCACGACTGTCAGAGTTGAGTATCATGGATGGTAGAATCTCATTGGCGTGTTTTCGTCCTCTGATCGCACCCTCGATCGAGACGCTGACGCGACTTGAACTATTGGGCGTTGAACTCAACGTTGAAACGTCATGGAGTACGTTACTAGAACAAACTGCAGGCGAGCTCAACAATCTGAAAGGATTCTGGCTCAGCGGGCTTGGGATACTTCCATATCGGGTCGGCGAACGATTGAGAAGAACCCAACGACGCATCATATTCACTTTTCCAAAAGAACGCATTTCAGGGCATCATTGTCATAAAGCCTTTCACAAATACTCCTATAGATGTTCAGATCCGGCATTGCTTCAGTCGGGCCTGGAGCTCGCGGGCCCAATGTTTTGGCCGAGAGGTGAGGTTGACGAAGTGAAATACAGCGGGCCGAACGCAAGAGCATTTCTGACGCTGGTGGCTAAGATTGCGGTGGAATACATGCAATCCGACGAAACTTGATGAATGAAAATCTGGGATGTGGACTGGGCCTGCTTCACTGAGAGCGAAAGACCGGAGTCGTCATCAAGGTTTTCTTGGGAATGAGATAGGTTCATTCATTGCAGTCGTCTGCTATGTAACAACAGACAGGCACGAAGAAATCACACCGGGCGTATGCATCTCAACTCGAAGTCCACAATATCGTCGCAAGTGTCCCTCGAAGCAGGCATATTATCGTGCAGAGTGGCGTCTGGCTAGACGTGTGTGGCTCGCCATGGTCCATACTGGTAATGGGCGCCACAAACAGGTTCGTTTGTCTAGGCTTTCATTATGCATGTTGAGCCAAAGCCATGCTCACGGGATACTAAGGGCCTGCACGCATGTATGACAAGCACTTGCGTCGATCATCAGGCACCTTGGCTGACGACAGGGGCGTGTCTCGTCGATCGATTGCGCAAATTTGTGGCCCGTCTGTTCATGATGACGAGCGAAATTCAAAGCATGCGAATAATGTAGGACGTAACAAAGTGGCATGGCGCAAAAATCAAAGACTTGCCTTTACGCTTGACGTCGTGGATGCAAAGTGGTGGAGGTGTTGAGAGGAACCCAGATCGAATCGGACAAGATAGGTTGTTTACAGCCGTATGACTAAGCGTCTGAGATAGAATACCTTCCCGCGACGCCTTGGCAGCCTCAGGCTCACAATATCAAGGCAACGGCGGCGACGATTCAGTACAAACCATATCAACCTCAACATTTCAAGCTGATGCTAAAAATAAGTCACACGCTATGTCTATGAATAGTAGATGACTCCTTGAGGTATACGCGTTCCTGCATACAACCGAATGCACGCCTGCAATCTCTGCCGACATGCGCAAAGTCGTTGCATCTCGGCATGTCGAGGGGAACATGTGCATCACGACACGCGTCAAGCACGTACGCGCTACTATTTCAGAAACGAAGCAGCAGAAACAGTCCTGGTCATATGTTGTGATCTCGAGATATAATAAATGATGATGGTGGTGTAGCCATGTGAAGGTGGCGTGTTTGCCGAGGTTTGTCGATCTCTGCCTCACACTTACGAGGCATCTTTCTGATTTCGAGCAAGTCTAAGGAGTCTTCTGTCCCCTTTTCCTCCATGTGAGCCACCCATGTGAGGCCAGACGCACGTTGAACCGCGCTGTCCTTTTGACTCTTATGTGCGACCTTGTCTTCACATGCGAGGCACTACCCCGTAAGCCTATTTTAGATACGGTATATATGGTGGCAACCCCAGCTTTTGACGCCTTGACCTCCCCCACATTCCTTTAATATATCCTCACATCCCTACGACACATCTCTTTTTGTATCATCTCCTATCATCCTTGTCCTTGTTATTGTTACGCCACTCGACTACCGCAACGTCGCCATCATGAGCGTTCAACGAGATCCTCGTGATTCCATGACCTCGACATGGCGGAAGGATCGCAAGCAGTGGACCATTTTCCACTACCTCATCGACTGGCTTCAACTTTATGGCTCCAACATGGACCAAGATGTCCCAGTCTTCAAGAAGACTGATAAAATGGCCTGGATCCCGCACATTGAACAGCACAAGTGGATCGTTCTACATGCACTGTGGCCTTTTGCGGTCCAACAAGCCTACATCTCCTTGTACGGCAAGAACTGGAGTCCAGTCTTCTCCTTCATTTTCTATAACGTCGCCTTCACCCTCAATGCCGTGCATCAACTCCACATGATGCGCGGGCTCGGACATATCCACGGCTTCCTCGATGGAGATGTCCACGGCCGTGACGAGATTCCGGATCACAGTGTCGGCAGCGTCGTTCGCAGTCTGATTTCCACCGCAACTTTCCGACCCATGATGTCCGTCTTCCTAGCATACCGCACCAGTCAAGGCCCGCTGACGATGAGCTTATGGACGCCCGTCGAGATTGGTCTTTACGGCATCATCCTTGACTTCTGGTTCTACTGGTACCACCGATGCATGCACCACTTCGACGGACTCTGGAAATTCCACCGCCGCCACCACCTGACCAAGCACCCCAACCCTCTCCTCACCCTCTACGCCGATACTGAGCAAGAGATCTTCGACATTGCCATAATCCCATTGATGACTTACCTCACACTGCGGTTCATGGGTTTCCCTATGGGATTCTACGACTGGTGGTTGTGCCATCAATACATCGTCTTCACAGAATTATGGGGCCACTCCGGCATCCGTGTTTATGCCACGCCCGCAAACCCACTTGCACTCTTCCTCCGTTTCTTTGACGCCGAACTGGCAATCGAAGACCATGATCTACACCATCGCAAGGGCTGGAAGAAGAGCATGAACTACGGCAAGCAGACACTACTCTGGGATCGTGCATTCAAGACTGCCGGCGATCGCATTGAAACTAAACCTGAGCTTGTCGATTACAACAGCCCAATCACTCTTAATGTCTTCGGTTGAGGGGAGTACGATGTGGCACGTGGGTGCAATGTTGATGTAGATGTATGTCAAATTGTCTTCGTCGCTCGTTCCACTGCGCAGTCCCACTTCAAATTGACGTCTCTCCTTTGAGACTTCCGGCCGACTGCAAATCATCCCGCCCAAGCAGGGCCAGATAAGTCGGGAGAGATCCCAACAGGACGCAGTGGACGATTGGGAGGAAGGGGGCGATCGAGATCATATTGGATATTGGGCAGTTGACTACGGCGGAGATCTGAATACGCGTATACCCGACATGTTTGGAAGTTTATTGCAGATTTATTCCCAATATATAGACTAGAAACAAATGACACAGTCTTTACAGCTGATATTGCTTGGTATGTTTTCTCATACCGTTTTGAGGGCAATTTTTACGCTTACAGTTCCAGGATTGGCACCCTAGACGTATCACTGATTTTGTGCCTCGAATCAGCACAGCCGAAGTGATCATAACTATGGGCACAATATAAAGGTGGTAGGCTGTTGTGTCCTTGTTTCGCGATGCTAGCTTGTTTCCTACAAATTGAAGGCAGGGGGAACATCAGCAGCTTGGCCGAAGGTGGAAGGAGCTATCAGCAGCATGGCTCTTGCTTCGTCGGGGATGCAAACAGCACCTGCACTTCGAAAGACTACATAACAGGTGGAGTACATGCGCATTTCATAAAAGTTCTCTGTCCCGCCTGCACATTTCACCACGAACGTTGGATCAATCTGTGCTCTCTTTCGATTGTCATCGCACAAATGAACATGTTGCAGGAGACATTTGATCTGATGGAGAGCTCACTTGTGGACATTGTACCATGACAGTTCAGGGAATATCAGTTGCTTGATTGATTTAGTCTAAATGTTCCCCCAAAGTCGCCACCAAACGTGGCGGTTATCATACACTGCTAGACGAAAGGAAAATATGATGCCGGTATAAAACTCAAGGACCTCTATGAACACCAACGCAACGGTACTGCGTCCCCATCTCCCGATCAGGTTCTACCCCCTCTACCTCTGATCCGACCGCCCGGAATGTGACGCTCAAACCCTCTGCTTTGGCCATGCGCGCCTCTCCTCCAAGGTCTCACCCTCGCTCTCCCTCGAATCAAAGCCGCCACCAACGATGCCCCTCTTGACAGCTTTCTCGGCTCTCCACTCAACCCAGCAGATGGCGGCCGCCCACGCAGCCAGCATGCTCAGGGGAATGGCAATCGCCATGACGATCCAGCTCAGGATGCAGCCGGTGCCGACGCAGATCTTGATGTTGGCCTGGATGATGAGGAAGACGACGGCAGCCCAGAAGACGATCTCGAGGGAGTTGAGGATGGTGAAAGCCTTTAGACTGCGCCATTTGCGGAGGCGTGCGACGTGCTCGGTGAGGAGTTGATATTGCAGGATGATGAGAGACTTGGCGCCCTGTTGGGGTGTGTTAGATTGGATCATGCAGTATTGAGGAGTGGTAGGGCACGGGGTGTGGAACAGGGGAACGTACAACACCGAGGGCAATGGTATTCGCGCGAGTTCGCGGCTGGTTCTTCATGAAGAGACGTGGCGCGGACAGGCCGATTGCGAGGACTGTGAGGATCGCATAGACGACGTGGAGCGGGACCTTGCATTTGGGAGAGAGGAGAGCGGCAGTCATGATGGATAGGGCTGGTTTGAGCGTTTGTGTGTGTGGAGGTCAGGTGATGATTTGAGGTCTTTCAGAGTCTCTTGAAGAGGAAGAGAGAAGTTGAGGTAGTCGGAATAGGAGAGTCGGTGATGTCGAAGAAGAAAAGGAGATGAGGATGGATGCAGTGTGAAGCTGGATAAGGGATGAAGTATAAGACACCCCAGAGCGCGGATGCCCAGCTCCTTATATATCACCTTATGTGTTTACAGTCGGTCGATGATGCACGCAAGGATGAACCTCTCTCGCAGCGATATACGAGGGATACGCATGTTCATTGACGAAGCCCGCCAGGCCACACCCAGGCCAGGACAAGCCGCAGCAACCAAAATAAGCACCAGTTACGACAGCACGATAGCACGTTAGCAGCAGAATAGTGCAGTGCCTGGCATTTGCGGCGGCTCTGGCAACATCCAACGGTGCTATTCCTTTTCGTCCATGACGCGGCCGTCGACGTGCGCACAGCCCAATTAGAAAAAAAATCGATGACTGCCTTTGTTTGAGTCGTTGAGATTACTGGTCGTTGGGAGTTGCAAGAAGCGGTGGGCTGACATCTTGGCGAAGATTGCGCTTTTGCCTTGGATGGGTGTGGTGTGGTGTTGGGTGTTTGGGATCCCCCCGGGTTGCGAATACGCTCGGGTTCGGCTTCCCCCTCTTCGTCTCGTAATCCTCGTTCCACCGTCCGCTCCGCCTGCGAGCCTCGTGTTGCGCCTTAGTTTACATACGGTAATCTTGGTCGTTCGCGGGCTTGGGGTAGCCGGCTAGCCAAATCAAGCTGTTTATTACGGTATGGCTTGCTGGCACGGCTTGTCTAAGCAGTATTACATACAACCCCCATATCCCCCAGTCCAATACCAACTATCACCACATTCCCCATCCCCAGTTCCCAGCAAGCAGCAGCAGCAGCAGCGAGGAAAACACCGGGTCCCCAGTTCAATCTTGACCCTCACACTAGATACATACTAAATTATCGTCAATCTTACTTCCTTCCTTCTCACCCCAGAAACAGCAACACCGATGAATTTAAAGCACCCCCTCAGGCTTCTCCTTGCCTGTCTGAGCAATCCCGAGTGGGCGGACGGGCGGGCACACGCGCGCGCATGTGTGGATGTGTATGTGGATGTGGACGTGGATGTGGACGTGTATGTATGTATGTATGTGTGAAATGAACGAAGAAAGGAAAGGAAATGAAATAGGTATCAAACGGTCATCGGCATTGCTATATGCGGTATTGCTTGCGCGCGCGGCTGTTGCTGCTGCTGCTATTGTCTGTAAATGAACGGCCCAGTCAGTCAGTCAGTCAGTCAGCCTTACCACCGGCCGAGCTTATTATTACAAGCAAGGTACAGTGGGCATAATTAGTATTCCTCCCAACCCAAAAGAACTGCCGATGTGGAGTCTACGTAATCCTGCTGCGTGAATGGATGGATGAATGAATGAACTTTCTTTCGTTCTTTATCTTAGTTACATACACTAAGCTTTGCGCATTCGTGTGCTTCGTTCTTCGTTCTTCGCGTGTTCGTGTGTACAGTAAGTAACACGGTACACGGCACACGGCACATCGAGCAAAGCCTGGTCCTTTTGGGGGGGGGACCGGGTCCGAGTGTCGTACCCGATGAACGGAAACGAGTCCGACGCTTCTTTTTTTATGCATTCGTTCCGTTCGTTTCTGGAAGGGCGTATCGAAGGTAGGTATACTTACTTACTTGCATACTTACGTACCGTACCGGTGTTGGCCGTGGCCAAGTCGTGGCCAAGTCGTAGCCAAGCAGTAGCCGGTCCCCAGCACCAGCACCAGTACTAGCAGTAGTCAGTACGTACTAGTCAGTAGTGAGTAGTCTATCGGTCACCAAGTATCCAAAAAGTCACAGCCTCGTGGGAGCGGCATGGATGAGCGGACTTGGCGATTTGAGTTCAGGGTCCTTGTGAAGCTTGGCCTTGGGGGAGGGCAGATGGATGGATGGGTCTAGACTTTTGTGGGTGAGGCTGGGGTGTGCTGGCTAGTTATGATGGGAGTGGGTTGAGTGACTGTGCGTTGTAAAACAGGGTTTTTTTTTTGCGGGTATGTTGTTATAGTATACTTTTGCTATGGTTAATTGTTAGCACCTCAGCAAGCACTATGGTAGGTAATTAGTATGATTGTAGGAGGTAGTGAGTGAGTGACTATTGATTTTTGGGCGTACCGGTAAACTTACGCTTTAGTGCGGTCATCAGGCCATCAGGCCATCCATCATCAGGCGATGCGATGCGTCGTATGAGCGGTTCGATTGGGAATATACATACAAGTAGCAATTAGTAGTACATACAGTACATACACCTATACACAGTATAGTCGACTGCGACCATGGGCTCACTAGCACTATATACATACAACAGCGCACCCTCTATCCCTCCTCCTCGCTGCCGCTCATCCGTCAAACACGCCGTGGTTTAGCTCGACGCCATAGTCCTTCGCCATCGTCCGCATGCGCTCCTCAATCTCGTCGTCCATGCCCTTGCCCAGCCCGGCCAGCTGTCTGATGCGCGCATACCACCACACAACGTCGCTCCCCAGCAGCACCATCCTGAACGTCAGGTGGCGCACCCAGAACTTGATGCGCTGCGTCAACGGCAGCGTCGAGTCCTCGGCCAGCGCCCGCGATGCCCACAGCCCCGTGATCTTGATCCTGTTGACCGGCGAGCCCAGGAACTGGTTGTTGCCCTGCACGATGCGCAGGTTGCGCCCGATGAAGAGCAGTTCCATCGGCAGCTTGGTGTCGTCGGAGAGGAAGCTGCGCACGTTTTCGCGCATCTTGCGTTGCATCTCGTACTGTCGCTCTCGCTCGTCGAGTTTGCTGAGTTCGCGCAGGTCGCGCTTCATCTGGTTGTCGCCGCCCTCGTAAGGCCGCATGAGAGTTGCGCTGGCGAACATTTCTTTGCCGGTGCCTGTGATGCCCCATTGCGAAACGACGTCTTGCATGGTCTTGTTGTCGAACGCGAGGAGGGACTTCCAGAGGAGGGCGTATTGGTGTCGGAATTCAGGTCGCATCGTGATGTAGAGACCGTGGTCGATGAGCACGAGTTCCGGTTTACCACCTGGCAAGCGACGCACGAAAATGTTGCCTGGATGCGGATCGCAGTGGACGGCGCCCCAGAGGAACATTTGCGCGCTGAAGAGGTCGACCATGGTTGTCATGACGGACTTTAGAGAGAGCCCGAGCCCGCCGGAGCCGTCTTTGCCTCTCCATGCTGTGCGCTCTGGTTTGAGCTTCTCTTTGTTCGGGTCGTTGTTCGGTATGCGAGTGATTGTGTCTGCAGGAGGAGGAGGAGGGCCTAGGGGCTGACCATTACAGCCGGGTGAGCCTTTGCCCCACCCGCCCTTCCACGTGCCAGTGATGCCTTCTTTATCCCACAGTCGTATTCCCTCGATCCATTCCGCAGTCATTACACGTTTTGAGGAGAGCTCGGTGTAGACCTTGGGGATGTACACCCGATTTCGGAGTCTTGGCTCTCCTTGGACGTATCCACGCATCATAGACGCGTTGTTTGCCTCATTTTCGAAGTCGGTCTCGAGCATTAATCGTTCCGTGACGTATGGAACTACGCTGTAGAACGGTATATCGAACCACCAGGAGTAGATACGCGCGACGACTCTGTTGATGATTAGTCACTGCTCATCGTCATGAGAGGGTAGATGCTTACTTGAATGACCACAGATCCCACCCGACTTGCTTCATGATTTCTTCTTTCTGGACCTTGATGGCTACTTCTCTGCCATCGGCGAGACGGGCCCAATGGACCTGCGCAACACTCGCACTAGCTCTTGCAGTCCTCTCCATGACTCCTTTGCCCGGTTCGCCAGTGAAGCTGACTCCAAATACCTCCTCTACACTCTTTCCACCAAAGTCCTCCCGAATAACACGCTCTACGTCCTTCCAGTCGTTCTGTGGCGCGTCGTCGAACATCTTCGCAAACATTTTCTGAAACTCAGGTGGAAGCACTGCGCTCTGCATGGCAATAGCCTGGCCAATCTTCAAGTATAGACCTCCATTTTCCCGTAGCAAGTTGAACATGCGCTCAGCATTCCGCCTGTGAACGTCGGCGATGGAGCCTGCGAATGGAGGATTGGGACGGAAGTTGATCTTGTAGTCGATGCCGACATATAGACCGGTGTAGAATGTGCGAACAGTGCGACCGATCGCAGAGGCGTAATATTGTCTATCGATGACGTACACCGCGCCAATGAACGCTGCTGTGTATAGGAGGCGTCGTCGCCATTTTCGACGCTGAGCAGAGCGCTTTGGGTTTGGTACTTTCTTCGGCTTGGGTTTTGGGAGCTTCGAAGGATCGGGTGGAACGAGAGGGGAGAACTGCGCGGACTGGAGATTTCGACGGAGTTGGGGCTGCTTGAGGGCTTGACTGATAGCGACAGGAGGCCGAACAGCGTGTCTTATTGAAATTGCATGGTGAAATTGAGGTCTACGCAGTAACAGTAGCCTCTGGAGCATAACTGCGATCCGCTCCTTTGTGTGAAGGAAATAGGTTCGGAAGAGAAGACTGACAAGGAATATGTCGCATGTCGATAATGATGATGATGATATAATACTTCAACGGCCTCTAGCCTGGTACTAAAAATGGGGCTCAGGCTGCAACTAGCGTCGGTTGGTCCCACGCCGACAGTCCAGGCACAAGAAACTACTCCACCAAGGATGATCATCTCATCTCATCTCGTTCTAAAATCACCTCCAACCTTGACGATGATTCGCGACGACGCACCTACATCTTATCGCGATCGCGCTGATATCTTGATGGGCTCTAGCAGATCGTCCGACGAAGGACACGCCATACATGTACAGGATGAGCCACAACGGATTGACACAGACGACATCTTTGAAGACTCACCAGGACATGCGGGGCCGGACACGGTAAGTGCTGAAGTCTCGGAGATACCGTCTCTTCGTCGACTGCATGAGACTGCAGGATACAGAGAGGGTGTCACAGCGTCCAAGGCCAACCATCTTCAAGATGGCTTCGACGAGGGCTTTGCTCTTGGAGCAGAGATGGGCGTACGAGCTGGCTGGATCCTCGGGTGTTTTGATGGCATCACCAAAGCACTGGCTTGTAGAGCCGCCGTACCATCTGGTGTGGACGATGCCTCGCCGTCGACGATGGCTCAGGATGTCAAGGGCGATGTCGATGAAAGCATCAGGCTGTCAGCGTCTGCGAGAGACGAGTTGAGACTAGAGATGCTGTTTGGGAGTGAATGGATCAACGAAGAGGGCATGTGGAAATGGGAAGTGCCGGAAGACGGAGATATTACATTCAAAGAAGTCGCCGCTTGTCACCCAGTTCTGGCCAAATGGAACGCTATTCTCAACAAGACTGCCAGGCAATACCAAGTTCATCTCGCGTTCCCGAGCGCGGATGGAATTGATGAAGCTTAAGATCCTCACCGCATCATAGACTATTGTCTCCCATCCAAGGAGCGCCTGTCAAGTGTAGCACAAAGAGCACACTGACTTCATAGCTCGAATCACAGCAGCGTCTTGTACATGTCGCAGCACGCTACAACCCGCCCTGTCAGCTTACCGCCTTGTCAACGGTGTTGTCTGCATGCACCGGAGAGTTGGGACTGGCACGCGAAATGATTTGTTGAAATCCAGGCCTCGTGCATTACAACTGTGCACTATCAAAGCAGCAGGCAATATTGCGGAGCCTTGCAGAAGCTTGCATACCGGCTACCGGCTATCCGAGCTGGGCGAAAGTGTGTATAAATGTTGATTGCTCCGAGATGTGATATATGGACTGGCTCGGCGCGGACATAATAACAATCGGCTGACGCTTGACAACCGCCCAACGCTTCGATCAAGTCAACGCAAACATCTATGGTCCACATGTATCAACGATATCCGCCAACCGATTGACTAGTGCCACAGCCATAAGCAGCTTGTGCTTGTTGTTCCTCCACTTCTTGCGGCGCCAGATCGGCTCTCGGACATAAGCTAGCATATTCATCGCATAGCTTCTTTTCCCCATGCAGATCATTGGCTTGGGCGCCTTAAGAGAGCTTGACTACCTCTACCTTTGTTTTGCTCGTTTGGATACTTGTGTGTCTGTTCATTTCACCGCCGCTTACGCATTCCACGATGGCTTCACAGGATAGTGAAAAGGCATGCCAAAGCCCTCCGCAGGTTGCCTTGGTTGACCGTCTCGCTCAGCTCGAAGAGAAGTTTGGTGTAAGTGCTGCTACTATTTCGTAGGGCTGAGTCATTAACACTTGCAGGCGACCTGGGACGGCCCCGATGACCCAAACGACCCATACAACTGGTCTACGGCCTGGAAAGTTGGCATCGCAGTCATCGTATCTACAGGCCAGCTCATTACGCTACTAAGTGCATCGATGGTGACCCCTGCGTTGAACGAGATTGCAAGAGATTTGCATATGACGACGTCAACCGTTCAAATTTCGTTTTCAATCTACTTCCTCGGACTGGGATTTGCACCATTCCTCTTGGCTCCTTTGTCCGAGATGTACGGTCGAAGGATTGTCTGGCTTGTTTGTAATGGATGGTTCACTCTGTGGAATGCTTTGTGTCCCGTGGGGAACTCGAAAGGCCTCATGATAATCGGGCGTCTGCTTGCCGCATCTGGTGCTAGCATTGGAGTAACGGTATGTTTTGCGCAGTGCATCCCCATGATTCCATCTTCATGCCTCGCCCTGGCCGCCGCAAAGACATCCCGACTGATATACTTTACGTAGCTCACAGGACCTATCATGGCAGATATGTTCCGGGCAAAGGACAGAGGCAAATCGCTGGCCCTCGCAAGCCTCCTCCCTTATCTCGGCCCAGCAGTAGGACCCATCGTGGGTGGCAGTGTTTCACAATATCTCCAATGGCACTGGCTCTTCTGGATCATTTCCATTGTGGACGCAGCCGTAGCAATCATAGGCCTGCTTCTCCTCCGCGAGTCCTACACGCCAGTCCTGCTCCGCCGCAAAGCAGCCCTCAAGTCCACCGTCTCTCCCGTGATCCTCTCTCCTCGCGCCAAGTTCACCGACTTCTGCACACGCCTCCGCACCGGCGTCGCCCGACCGGTTACCCTCCTCCTCAACCGCCCCACAATCCAACTCCTCGCTCTCTGGTTCGGCCTCAATTTCGGCATCTACACCCTCATGCTGTCGACGTACGCAAACATATGGATCGTCAAATACCAACAGACCCCCACCCGCGCCGCTCTCAACTACGTCGCCATCGTTGTTGGCATGACCACCGCGACCCAGGCGGGCGGGCCCGTCATGGACTACATCTACCGCCGCCTATCCGCACGCAGCCCGCCCCGGCCGGAGTTCCGCGCTCCGTACATGGCCATTGGCGTTCTTCTCGTGCCGGTCGGGCTGCTGTTGTTCGGCTGGGCGGCTCGCGCACATACGCACTGGGCGGTCGTGGACGTCGGCGTCGCAATCTTTGCATTTGGAAACTTTCTCTTTGCCCAGGCGCAATTGGCATATCTGCTCGACGAGTTTGAGCACGGCGCGAGCGCAAACGCGGCGGCCCGGCTGCTCAGCCATGTTATTGGGTTCCTGTTCCCGATCTTTGGGCCCGCGATGTATGCGCGGCTGGGGTTCGGGTGGGGCAATACGCTGCTTGCTGGCATGTGGATTCTGATCGGAGTACCAGCGCCCGCGGTGCTGTGGATCTGGGGAGAGAGGTTAAGGGGGATCCGGTGGCGGAAGGGAGAGTGACGTGTGGTGTCTGGAGTTGGCGTTGGGGCTTGATATGATTATGCATAGACTAATGATCAGTGCATGACTTGATTGCATTAGCAGTGTGCTGTGTGATCCATCGATACAATGATTTCACTCATCTCTCTGCTACTTTGCACTTGCAGCCTTTGAGGCTCTACTATACAATCTGTGTGGTGCCGATATCAGACGTCCAGTCGGTAAGATACCCGGTCCGTGCCACAAAATGCCGCACTACCCGCCCCATTAGCGAGTCACCGGCCCGCCCGAGGTCGGCACGTGGCGCATCCTCCAACCGCATTCGCTCAATCCCAATTCGTCGTTTGCCTAGAACCTGACTCTCTTGGCATTCGGATGTCGCGCTATGTCTCCCCCACCCAAATTTACGTGAGACGGATATATTCTAGTATTTTATTATATACTCGTTGCTAACGCGTTACTATTACTAATTATATATATTTAGTAGATTATTAAGGCTATCTAGTAGTTAGTATACCTATTATATAATATATTTCTAGTATTTTCGACTTATAGTCGTGTATAGTAGACCTACCTAGTAAGGTATATAACGTGAGTATCTATTACTAAATTAACTTCCTCCTTAAGTATAACGTGCCCTCTACTATTACTATAGAGAAGTCTTAAGTATCTATCTCGATAGTTAATCGTATAAGGTATAATCTTACTACATATAGCTAGTAAAATAAGCCTCTATCTATGAAGACGCGTAGTTATAAGACTATTCTTAGTAATTACGTAATAGAATTACTATTTAAGTACCTACTCTAAGAGGGATAGCTATACCTTAATAAGATAGTAAAATAGATATATAAAGAGCTCGAGATAGTAACCTTACTATCTACTATCTTAAAGTAACTAAAGAAGAGAGAGTAGACTAGGAGTCTACTATAGCGTATTTATTCCTAACGCTCTAAGGTTATACGTCGTTTCTATTATAAGGATATTACTTAGCTATCTACTAATTACCTTATATTTATTAATAAGGTTATCTTTAATAAGAAAATAGAATAGAGAAGATAAGATAGAGCTCCTTATAGAGAGACTCCTAGGTAATTTATAAGGATTAATCGAGGCCCTATATATAGTATATATAATACTATCTCTATTAATAGCTTCGTTATCTATAGTATTAAGAAAGGTTACTATAATAAGTAAGAGTTTATTAACTAGCTAGAGGTATATCTATTCCCTAGCCTATAAGAGAAGTACCCTAATCAGGCTATAGTTATTATTATAGATAATCTCTCTCTTTATACTAACGATAACGTTACTTCTATAGTTACTATAGCTAGTTATACTCTTTAATATATACTACCTTACTTACCTAATTATAACCCTATTAAGTTAGTATAGATAGTCCTAAAGGCGTGGATTTAAAGGTAGTATCTATTTATATATAAGTAGTTATATAACTTCGAGGAGTTCTTACACTACGCCTTTAAGGATAGTTACTATAATTAGTTCGCTCTCCGCTTCTTTAAGTATACGGCTAACGGATAGTATATTAATAAAACGCTACGAGAGCGTATTATCACGGATTTAAAGTAGTTTAAGCGTGGTAGAAGGTATGGTTTTACGGTAGAAGTAAGGGATATTAATTAACTTTTTATAGTAGTACTCTTTACTAACTAACGTTATGTTATTCTTACTTATATTTATAGAGAGGAGATATACTTATTTATATATATACATATTTAATATAAACTTCGTAGTATCTCTACTTAAAAACCTTATATAGCTCTAGAAGCGAGTCCATAGAGTGCCTTCGCTACTTCCTTCTACTCTACTACCTTAAGATTACCCTTATACTTATAAAGATAGTAATAAGTATCTAATACTATGCTTAATAGAACGCTATACGCCTTTACTACCTTATAATAAGTAGTTCTAGGACGAGTAATCTCTTTAACCTACCTATACTAATAATAGTTATTAACTATATACTTACGGAGTAACCTAATCCCGTCCTTCGTCCTTATATAAGTTTCCTTTATATATTACTATTTAAGTACTAACTAAACCACGTTAGCCTAATAAAGTTCTAGTTAAGTAGGGCTACTATATAGTACTAGATTTATCGTCTCTAGCGGCGTTAATAGACGAGGGCGTTAACTCTTAACCTTACGAGTCGGTAACGGTAACGTATAGAGCGGTAGAATACCTAGTAGGTATAGAGGTATACGTAATGCGAATATAGGATTAAATCTAGCCTATTAAAGTTAAGTCTACCTTATCTACTTATTAAAACGTTAACGCTTAGCCCTTTCCTTATTCTTTACTCTTCTATCTTCTTAATAGTACTAAAGCTTATTAATCGCTACTTAAACCTTCTAAGTCTAGAGTTACTTAGTAAGGGTAGCGAGATCGACTTATCTAGATATACCTATCTTCTTTACTAACTTTCTCTTATAGAGTTTAGATATAAGTTACTTTATTATATCTATAGAAGGATCCTTAATAGAGACTCTAGTAATACTAGTAGTAATAGCGTATACCTATAGCTCTATTAACACGCGTTTAATCTTATAATAAAGATAACTAGATAAGGATAATAATAATAATAATAATAATATTAGTAAACTAGGTAGAGTACCACTCTATAGGCGTATGCCTCCTCTAGTCTAAGCTACTATATAAGAAGAAACCTACGAATAGGAAAAACTCCCTTATATCCATGACTACGCTCTATCTATCCTCTCGTTCTTATATATATATAGCCCTAGGGGCTATCTATAGGTCTATAGCCTATATTATAATAGTTTACCCTTAGGTAGCACGTGTAGGTGCGGAGATTATTAGTTAAGGGCTACCCTTAACTAATAATCGCGGTTCTCCCGGGGTTCTTCCGACGTATACCGGGGTTCTTCTAGTATATATCTAGCTTCTTCTAGTATATATATATAGGTCTACTAGAACTAGGGGAGAGGAAGGTATACGAGCATCTATTAGGCGATATCCTTAGGGTACTTATTAAGCTATCGCGTGATATTAGAGGTCCTCGTTATACGGATAAGGGCTTATCTTAGGGTATAGAGGCTAGAGTACGTCGCGAGGTAGTAGTATATTATACCTCTCTAGCCGTAGTCCTCGCACTAGGGAGATATATCTAGAAAGCCTCTCTAGTAGAGGTAATATAGAAGATCTATAGCGCCTATTCGGGCTTAGAGGAGTATAGATACTTAGGCCTTCGTTAGCCCTTTATACATCTATTTACTTAGTTCCTTCTAAGGCCCTTAGATCTATTCTAGATATCTATTCTATTAGGAGGCCTACTAGGCTTTAAGTACCTCCCTCTATTTATCCTAGATCTATAACCGTATAACGTGGCTAAGCTCCTTAGGGCTCTATTAGCTTAGGATAGTATCCGGGTTATTTTAAACCTTCTATATAGTCTAGCTCGAGTCCGCCTCTATATAGTATTTATATTATACTCGAGTTTATCCTATAGTAGAGAGGGCCTAGTAATACACGTGGATACGTGTACGTAGTACGGTAAAGGTATATACCCTATCTTCTCTACGTTCTTATACTTATTATTTAGTAAAGTATATAAGTCTCTATATCTAGTAGAAGTTCTATATACTTATTATATTTATCTCGCGTTAGAGAAGCGTCGTGTTAGTAGCTTTATATACACCGGAGATAAGGCGGAGTATACGGTTTTATATGGACTTAAGCTTTACCCGCCGAGCTTATATAAGGGCCGTATACTAGCACTTATATCTATATATAAAGGCTAGGCGTACTAGGGAGACGTATAGCTATCTCGCCTTATCCCGGGCTATTCCCTACGTGGATACCGTAATCCGGTATATAGCGGTTTCTACCTAGAGGGCTCTAGAGACGGCGTATGCTATCTATGGTCTCTATTTTAGCTTATTATCGATTATAACGCCGAGTACGTGTATACTCTATGCTAGTAGTTCTATAAAGGCGTCGATTTAGGGGCGACGTGCCCCCTCCCTAGTAGCCTATCCTCTATAGTAGTTAATAAAGTATATAAGCTAGTATTTTTTAGGTGCGAATTTTACTCCGTGGCGCTTTATCTACTAGATATATTTCTTATGGTCTCGTTCGAGTCGTGTACATGTTCTACTAGTACTACTATCGACCGTGAGGAGGTATATATTATCCGCGTATCCGACTACCTCTATATATTCTATTCTCTAAAGAAGATCTACTATAAAGAAGAGGAAGAGGATCGGGGAGATAGTACTCCCTTACGGGATACCGTATACTATCTCCTTATATTTACTTCGGTATCCGGGGATATATATTTAAGTAGTCCTTTACGCGAGGAAGGACTATATAAATCGTATAATCTACTTAGGTATTCGCCTTATCCGGAGGTTATAGATAAGTCTTATATGGTTTACCTTATTAAATGCCCCTACTATATCTAGGGAGAGTAGCGTGATGACTTGTTCTTATTTCTATATAGTCTAGATAACCTTGAGGATGTGTTAAATAGCTATAATTAGGGAGCTTTCTACCTTCGCCTTCTGGTTTACTAGGAGAAGGCCGTATACCTATACTACTATACTTATCTTCTTAGTAATCGTAGCTTCTAGTACCTTACTAAGGTAGAAAAGAAGGGTAATCGGCCTCCATCCCTTCGGCGTGTTTAGACTCTTCCCTAGTTTTAGGAGTATAACTATATATATAGTTCGGAAGCTCTATAGGTAGTATCCTATACGGGCGCACGCTCGGAATATATGGCCTATAATTAGTAAGGTCGTCTATATGGTCCTCTTAAGGTATTAATTCGGAATTCCGTCTAGCCTAGGCGCTTTATCGTTCGGGAGTATCTTAATAGCGCTAAGTATATTATCGTCTATAATTTCCCTAGGGATACTCACGGCTTCCGGGTATTCCGTGCCGTTAATATCTAATAGGTCTACGGGTTCTAGAAGAGGGAATATACATCAGGAAAGATACAGCGCTCCCAAGTACTCCTAAGTACTCCCTAAGTATTCTTTCATCCCATTATATCCATCGGGCGGACCTACTTACTATCTAT